GTGACCCTGAAAGGTGTTAGAATGTAGAGGATTTTTCCTAGGGGTGGAGACTAACAGGAAGGGAAGCTGAGATTGATTTTGACTATGGCTAAGAGTTAGCAAAGGGTTTTAGTTCATCTCTGGAAGGAATCAGGTTCTGTCTGCAGTTAAGAGGTCCTTGGGATCTGGACTTAGGCTGTCTGGGCCCCTTCAAGGGGAGGGGATTGGATGAAAAAGAGGAAGAGCCTAGCTCGGAAAAAACAAATAAAGAGGTACATTCTTCACCTTCCCCCAGCACTCTGGATCAATGGTGGTATTGAATTTTTCCAGCCATATAATCACTGCATAAGGGAAATGTGCACAGGAGAGGGGAGGAAGCAGATGTGAGTTCTGCTAGATGCCCGGATTTCTTTGAAACCAACCCTCCTCATGAAGCCCATGTCTAAGTCCTGGAACTTCACTGCATCTACATAATAAGGAATATTTTTAACAACCCTGATCTTTCTACAAGAGTCGTTCTGTAATCCTGAACTCCCTTCTTTTGGTGAACTTTCACGTCTTCTTCAGAACATAGTTCAGAGGTTATCACCTCTGCAGAAGTATCCAGGTTCTGCCAGGAGTTTTTGCTTCTTTGTTTTTCTTCCTCAGCCTCAATACTTCTTCTTACCTTGCATAACATTTAGAATATAATTAATTTAAAAAAATATTTTAACTTTCTGGAAATTTTTAAAGGAAATAAATTTTTTTTTAGTTGATATCTTCCTAGGATCCAGGCTAGTGTCTGCCATGAAAAATAATGTGAAAGTGAAGTCGCTCAGTCGTGTCTGACTCTTTGCAACCCCATGGACTGTAGCCTACCACGCTCTTCCATCCATGGGATTTTCAAGGCAAGAGTACTAAAAAAGCTGTTCAATAAATGCTCATTATGTTAATAAATGCCTACATTTTAAATGATAGGATTTAATTGTCATTGTTAGTATGAATCACTTAAAATCATTTATAAGAACCAGATTAAATTTACATTTTTTAAAATGTAATGTCAAAGAAGTAGTTATGCTTTCATAAAGGCAAAGCCATGGGGACATAAATGTGAGAGTGCCATCTACTGGTAAACATATAAACAGGTAAGGCACTAAGAAGACTGGTAAAATATTAATGTGTGTGTGTGCTAAGTCACTTCAGTTGTGTCCGACTCTTTGTGATCCCATGGACCGTAGCCCACTAGGCTCCTCTGTCCGTGGGATTCTCCAGGTAAGAATACTGGAGTGGGTTGGCATGTCCTTTTCCAGAAGATCTTCCTGACCCAGGAATTGAACCAATGTCTACTTTAAATAATGTCTTCCTTATATAGCTTATATAAAATGTGAAAGAAGGATAGAAGCAAAATTGACAGATGCTGTGTGATAGTTTCCTGGAAACTATTCTTGTCCTATTAATACATGCAAAATGTAATTATATATATACGTATACATATATATATATATATACACACACATATACGTATATATATATGTATTTCCAAGCCTCCTGGTTCCAAGTTTTTTTTTTAATTTATTTTTATTTTTTATTTTATTTATTTATTTTACTTTACAATATTGTATTGGTTTTGCCATACATTGACATGAATCCGCCATGGGTGTACATATGTTCCCCATCCTGAATCCCCTCCTACCTCCCTCCCCATCCCATCCCTCTGGGTCATCCCAGTGCACCAGCCCTGAGCACCCTGTATCATGCATCAAACCTGGACTGGCGATTCGTTTCACATATGATAATTTACATGTTTCAGTGAAATTTCTAAATGTAAAAGAAAACAGTAATAACAAGAAATATATGAAATGACAAATTATCAAAAGTTTTTTCCACCTCTGTCCCCCCAGATTATAAATAAAACTAGGATGCCAACTATTTCAGTTTATATTCACTATTGGGAGGTCCTAGCCAGTATAGTCGGAGAAGGCAATGTCACCCTATTCCAGTACTCTTGCCTGGAAAATCCCATGGACGGAGGAGCCTGGTAGGCTGCAGTCCCTGGGGTTGCCAAGAGTTGGACATGACGAAGCGACTTCACTTTCACTTTTTGCTTTCATGCACTGGAGAAGGAAATGGCAACCCACTCCAGTGTTCTTGCCTAGAGAATCCCAGGACTACGGGGTCACACAGAGTCGGACACGACTGAAGCGACTTAGCAGCAGCAGCCAGTATAGTAAGGGAAGAAGAATAAAGGTTAATGTTAAATGTTAATTGTTTAAATACTCCAATTAAAAGGCAAAGATTATTAGAATGGATTAAAAAAAATGCCAGAACTGAACATATATTAGCTAGAAGAAAAACACCTGAAACACAAATATACAGATAAGTCAAATAAATGTATAGAAAAACAGGTACTATGCAAGCAGTAAGGGCATCGTTGGTGGCTCAGATGGTAAAGAATCTGCCTGCAATGCAGAGACCAGGGATCATCCTTGGGTTGGAAAGATTCCCTGGAGAAGGGAATGGCTGCCCACTCCAGTATTCTTGCCTGGAGAATTTCATGGACAGAGGAGCCTGATGGGTTACAGTCCACAGGTTCGCAAAGAGTAGAACACGACTGACGACTGAATGACTAACACTTCACACTTATGCAAATAGTAAGCATAAAAAGACTGGAGTGTCTATATTAATAAAAAGTAGAGTTTAAGACAGAGAGCATTTCCAGAGATAAAGAGTACCATTCTGTATTGATAAAAGGGTCAGTTTTTTCATCAAGAAAACATAATCATAAATGTGTATGAGCTTAATGACAAGCCTTCAAAATACATGATGCAAAAATGGAAAGGATTAAAGGGAAAAATAAGCAATTCTATAATCCCAGTTGGAGATTTTAATACCTTTCTTTCAGTAGTGATACAATAACTAAATAAAACATCTAAAAAGTCACAGAAGACTGAAAAACCCTATCTATCACCTTGAACAAATTGGTATTTAAAGAACATTATACTGAATTATACTGAATATCTGCATCCACATTCTTTTCAAGTACATATGGTTATAGTCATAATGATAGACATATTCTGGGCCACTATACAAGTCAATAAAGTTAGAGGAATTTAAATCAGATAGCATATGTTGTTTTGGGAATTCTCTAGTAGTCCAGCAGTTAGGACTCCAATGCTTTCACTGCCAGGGCCTGGGTTCCAACCCTGGTCAGGGAACTAAGATCACATAAGCCCCCGATTTGTGGAAACTAAGCAACATACTACTAAATTAATCTACCACGTAAAAATTATAATAAAAATTATAATATATTTGAACTATAGAATAATGAAAATAAGGCATATATAGCTTTGCGAGAGGCAACTAAACAGTGCCTAGAGGGAAATTTATAGCTTAAACTGTTTACATTAGAAAATAAAGATAGTCTAAAATCAAAGCCCAGATCCTGATAATGTGATATGTCTAAAAGAAGACACCTCCACTACCACCAATAAAATTAAGATTCCCAAAGGGTGATAAAGGTGAACTAGAAATAAACCCATCTCACCTCCTGGAAACTGAAAGAGCTCTGAGAACTCTGGTGCTGAGGAGGGCACAAAGAAAAGAAAAAGAGAGAGAGAAATAGACCCTGGTAAGTTGTAACCAGAAGCCAATTTCTATACATATTTGGGGTGAAATTTCACATCACTTGGGTTATCAAAACAAACAAACAGCAAAACAAAAACAAAAGCAAAAAATCCTCAACCTTTGAAGTGAGTTTACTTCTTTTTATTATTATCTTTTAAATTTATTATTTTTTTATTTTGAGTTTACTTCTTGACTGGTAGTATTCAAGCCACCAGGCAAAAGCAAACACAACATGTATGGAGGAAAGTGCTTTCATCTCAGACTTCAAAGCCACAAATAATTTAACCAGAACAACAAATTTAACTTCTCCTGCCTGTGTCCTCAGCCTTCCTTACTGTCTTCCTTGAGTCACAACATATACTTATTTCCTAAGCAAACACTTATTGTGCACGTATCATAATGCCTCTTACACCTAAGGCTGGGCTTCCCTCACAGCTCTGTTGGTAAAGAACCTGCCGGTAATGCAGGAGACACAGGTTCAGTTCCTGGGTCGGTAGGATCCCCTGGAGAAGGAAGTGGCAAGCCACTCAAGTGCTCTTGCCTGGAGAATCCCCATGGACAGAGGAGCCTGGCAGACTACACCTCCTGGGGTCGCAAGCGTCGGACACAGCTTAGCCACTAAACCGCCACCACCACACCTAAGGCTATACATGGGGCAGGGTCTTATTTTGAGCTATTTTTTCCCCTATTAAATAATAAATCTAAATTAAGTGGGGACAGTATTAGTATTTTTGCCCTTATTTTGAACTGGAGAGTCTGGAGCTGAGGCACCAAGTACTCGACCCCAGACCCCACAGTCTTCCTTCCACAGAGCACACTGCAGGTGATGGTTCCCAGGCCTCAAACGGCTCCCAGCTAAGGCCATTCACTGCTGGGCCATGAGTGGCTCCCATTTGCTGTTTCTGGTGTCTGACTGACTACTGATAAAGTATTTGAATCTTGTGGAGGGACACTGAGGAGGAAAATGAGACACAGCATCAGGACAGAGAAGAATGGGAGACTGACTTGAGCAAATTCTCTGACACCAGTGAGCTTTATTATTGTACTGCCCCTTTTTTCACCACACTCTTCGGAGAAGTTATAAAACAATAAGCGACTAAAAATGGTAAAACATAACATCAGCCAGGACGGCTTATAAACCCCAAGGGGGTTAGTGGCAACAGTAGAAAGATTTCAAGTCAGGGTCTCTAAACTCTGCAGACTTTGGGCTTTTAAATCCTCTGTGGTGGGGTTACAAAAGAGTTTACTGAATTATTAATTTGTTCCTTCTTTTTATCACTGTAAAAGAAAAATATTCTTCCTACCATCTCCCCTCCCTTTCAGTACAAGCTGAGTGCCAAAGATACGGGCCATTTCACCAGTTTCCACCCCGGATCTTATAGGGCCCCGCCTTCCGAAGTAGTTTCACTTTTGTGTGTAGTTAACTTCCTCACCCAGACCACAGGAACCAGCAGCTACAGAGGGAACTAGCAGCAAATATGTGACTGTCTGCTGTGTGGAGAAGGGAGTGGAAAAGGTCAGACCCATGTTTTCTCCACGGAGGGATAGAAGACGTGTGTTGGAGGAGGAGGATGGGGGAGGCTGGGTGCGTGAGAGTGTGTGCTTATGGGTGTGTGTGTGTGTTGATGGGCCGCGGGATGGGAGAGTCAGAGGGGTGTTGTTTCCTGATAACAGTTGCTGGAACTCTGAAAATAGCCAGGCCTTTGCTTCACGGCTCTCACACCCGGTCTGCTTTCTTTTTCGCCAGACTCCATGTCAAATCTCTGAAGATACAGAATGTGAGGTGAGTGAAGGTCCAGGACAGGCACCCTGGGGCCCCAGAGGAGGGGAAGTCCTTCTCCCCCCGGGAGCACAGCACCAGTGGCAGAGAGGAGCCTAGTTTTTCACTTGGGGGAGATAACCTGCCAAAGAACAGAAATCTCCAGGAGAAATTCTCTTTGGATCCAAGAGACTGGTCCTGGTTATTAGAGGGACGTAGCCTGTCCAGTAACTTTAGTTGAATCCTTGTTTTTGATTCTGGCCCTGTCAGTTCAAAGGAAAGGCCACTCTCAACTTCCTTCATCCTCTGCTGCCCTCCCTGACAAACTCCCAGGAATGGGGAAGCAGGGGTCTAAGCTGTGGGTGAGACGGTCGACTCCTTTTGTCTATTGGTTGTCCGGTCCCTAGAGGTTAAGCCCTCAGGGTTGAGAGGCCCTGCCCTCTCATCTGCTTCTCACCTTCCCCTATCCTGGACTCTGCAAACTCCCTGTGTTCCAGTCACTCTGAACTTCTCCTGAGAGACAAGTCCTGCCTGGAGAAGACAGTCACCTCCCTAGCTGTCAATGAGTTCTGCTCCCCTTCTCTTCCCAGCTCTCTTTCCAATTCACTTTTTCTCAGGTCAGGGAGGGGGAAAAAGAACTTGCTTTCTTTACTCGTTCTTCTGGTTCTCTTTTTTACTTTCATTATCATCCAGTTAGGTTTCCACTAGGGACTTTATTATGGTGTCTTTTGTTCTTTGTGGGGGTAGGAGTGAGGGTTTAATTAGAGTCGAATTTGATTGTCTCAATCAAATCCTTAATAGACCACCCCTTTATCTAAGTGTTACTTCAAGTTACAAAGAAACAATTCTGGTACTAATTATTCTTGATGTTCATTAGAGGGGGAAAGACTTTAACAGTCCCTCACTGAGTTCTCGCTCTTGCTGCAGCTTTGGTTGAGGAAATCAGTCTGGTTTCTCTCCCTCTGTCAGTGAAAACTTTTCACAATGATGGAATGTTCTCTATCTGGGCTTTCATATGGACTTTCATATAGCCACCAATCACCTGCAGCTATTAAGCAATTTAAATATGGCTAAGAGGTGTGAGAAACAGAATTTTAAATTCTATTTAATTGTAATTAAAGTGGCCACATGTAATAGTCACGATCATATTCCACAACACAGCTACATTTGATGCATCTTCTAAATTCCAACCTATTTCTTCTCTCTCTAGAGAAGACTCCATGACCTGTTGAAACCAGTGGCAACCAGTGCATTGGACAGAGACTCAGGAGAGGTAAAGTTCCATCACTGTGGGAAAATTCTTATCACTTCATCTCTGGCTCTGGATTCAATATTGGAGCTTTTCAGGAAAAGCCATGGCCTCAAAGAAGATGAGGGAGGAAGCCACCTGCTCCATCTGCCTGCACCTGATGACTAACGCAGTGAGCATCAACTGTGGACACAGCTACTGCCAAGCGTGCATAGTGAGCTGCTACCAGATGCAGCCATGGCAGAATACATTCTCCTGTCCCCAGTGTCGAGCACCATTTAATATGGCGAGCCTCCGACCCAACAAGCAGCTGGGAAATCTCATTGAAGTCATCAAGGAGATGGACCAGGAAATGTCATGTGAGGAACATGGAGAGAAGCTCCACCTGTTCTGTGAAGACGAGGGCCAGCTCATCTGCTGGCTCTGTGATCGTGGACCACAGCACAAAGGGCATGCCACAGTTCTGGTGGAAGAAGCATGCCAAGGCTACAAGGTGAGTGGTGGCCCACGGGGCTTCGGCGAGTACTTGGCCTCATATTGCCCCTGACACCTGAGATTTATTTGGCCTGAAACCCAAGATTAGGATCCTGAGATATAGCTTACATCATGTCATTCTTCTGAAAAGTAGAATGATGGGTCCTCACTAAATCAAGTCCCAAAGGTCACTTTTGTCCCTATCCTTTCTGGCTCTGATAAACTCCTCCCTGCGTTAGAATGCCGTGTGCTCCAGTGCACACCTGCATGTTTTATTGCTTCATACCATGTGTGTAATTTGAGAAACAACAATGTGCAAGACCATGGGATAGAGTCTGAAAACACAGGGGTCAAAGACACACCACCTTTTAGGTATCTTACAGTCTAATAGGAAAGACAAATCAGCAAAAAGGCTGCCTGGAATCCCCTGATTTGGATGGTGGAGCAGAGCACTAAGGGGTGTGTAGTAGTAACTGAGGAATCTTCCCAAGAATGATTCTTGAAGAGTAAATAAAAATTAACCAAATATATTAACAGAAGTATGGAGAAGGGAGAGGACTTTCTAGACAGAAGGGACCACATGTGCAAAGGCACAGCCATGGCAGCGTACCTGACTTGCTGTGACTAGGCCAGGGGGGTATGCAGGGGAGGCAAGTGATGTTATGGGAATGAAAATCAGGTCTGCATCCTAGCCCAGAGTAGTTCTGGCCATGAGGGGATTTTCATTTGCAGAGTGAAGGATCAGGTTAACAATGAAAAGAACATTCTTGTACTGATACAATGAAAGGAATACTAAGTAGTAAAATTCAGATTATTCCTGTGAGAAGTGGGAAGAAATCAGTTCTAAGCCAGATTTAGGAAAGAGTGAGAGTGGAAGGATTTGGAAGTGATTGGTCATCAAGGATAAAGCAGAGTGTGAGGTTTTGAGCAACTCCTGAGTTTCCCACTCAAAAACATACACTCACTCAAAATACAGTACTAATGTATAAAACAGACAGCTAGCAAGAAGGTGCTATATAGCACAGGGAGCTCAGCTCTGTGCTCTGTGATGATGACCTAGACAGGTGGAATGGAGGGGGTGGGGGGCGGTGGGAGGGATGCTCAAGAAGGAGAGGATGTATATATACAAATGGCTGATTCATGATTTTGTACAGCAGAAACTGACAGCATTGTAAAGCAATTATATTCCAATAAAAAGACAAAACCATTTTTAAAAAAATCATGTAAAGGAAGGCTGACCTTTGCTGTCATGGAACCTAGTGGGCATAGCCCTGCTGCCTTATTCCTTCTCTGTCCTGCCTGCTGCTGCTACCGCTACTAAGTCGCTTCAGTCGTGTCCAACTCTGTGCGATCCCATAGATGGCAACCCACCAGGCTCCCCCATCCCTGGGATTCTCCAGGCAAGAACACTGGAGTGGGTTGCCATTTCCTTCTTCAATGCGTGAAAGTGAAGTTGCTCAGTCGTGTCCGACTCGTAGCGACCCCATGGACTGCAGCCTACCAGGCTCCTCTGTCCATGGGATTTTCTAGGCAAGAGTAGTGTCCTGCCTAGATTTGAGAAAACTGTTGTCCTCAGTGTGAGCTCCTTGAACCCCCCTTCCATGAATTGGAGGTGATCGTCTATTAAGGTTCTGAGTCCTCCATCAGTATATGCCAATACTGACCACCACTCAGCACATGGCAGCTCTTCCTTAAACTCCATGGAGCAGTTAATTGCTGTAATGGGGATATTCCCATTGGAATTATTTTCCCACCAAGTAGTAAAAGAAGCACCATGGGGTGATGGTTCTAAGCCTAGAGAGTCAGACTGCTTGGTTTGAAATCTTAGTTCAGCTACTTATCAGATGGGTGGCTTTGAGCAAGTTATTTAATGTCTTCATGCCCTGGTTTCCCTAACTGTGAATGGGGATAAGGGTAGTTCCCTTCCTCCCCAACATACATGCTCAGGAGGTTGTTATAAGGCTTAAGGACATAATACATGTAAAGCCTAGAATAGCATTTGGCACATAGCAACTGCAATACTGACTTGCTAACAAGTTCTGCAGAGCCCTTTGTTCACAGCACACAAGAATTAATGAATATACTTACTGGGTTTAGGACAGGAGCCGATTCTTTTAGTATTGATCACAGCTAGCAATTTGATTTAGCTTAAACTTGCTTTCCATGAAAATGTGAGACACTGTTTTGAAAAATAACCTAAAAGCTTGATATGGATACTAAGTCGCTTTAAAATGGTTTCATGATACCATTTTTCAAAAGGCCTCAGAGCCTTCCTCCTCCATTAACTGTTTCTAATAACTTTGGCTGGCAGCCTAATCTTTCCTTCTTGACTCACCATAATACATACAAAGTACCCTGTGTGCCAAACACTCTGGCATTGGTTCTGTTTGGGTCAGTACATTATTAAATAAAATATTTTTAGGTGATTATTATCTTGCTTTATGTGCATCATTTCCCTGGCAAGACTGTTAATGGTGGTGGATATAGCTCAGACTCAGGGTCAACAGATGAACTGAAATCACAGTCCAATCACCCACCAGTTATAGCATTTTGGGCAAGTTATTTATCCCCTTTCTAAGCCTGCTTCTGCAGCATAGAAATGATGTTAAAAATCCTACTAACTTTTCAGGGTTGCCAAGGGAATCAAATATGTTACTGCGCATACAACCCTTGGGCTTCCCTGACGGCTCAGTGGTAAAGAATCCTCCTGCCAGTGCAGGAGATGCAGTTTGATCTGTGGGTTGGGAAGTTCCCCCGGAGAAGGAAATGGTAACCAACTCCAGTAATCTCGCCTGGGAACTCCCTCGGACAGAGGAGCCTGGCGGTCTACAGTCCATGGGGTTGCAAAGAATGGGACATGACTTAGTGACTGAACAACAGCAAAACACAGTCCTTAGCATGCTTCCTGGCAAAGTGTGAGGACTCAATGCATATTCAGTTTTATTCTAGTAGTTTGGAGGGCTGGGCTGCCCCTTAGGTGGCTAATGAAGAATTGTTGAATAGACTTTATTCAATTTTTCCTTCAGGAAAAGCTCCAACAAGCTGTGACAAACTTGAGGCAACTGGGAGAGGAATGTATGAACCTGCAGATGTTCACGGCAGAGCAAATAACCAAATGGAATGTAAGAGTTTGGGCTTATTGATCTCAGGCTATTTTCTATCCTAGAGCTCATATATAGGGAGTGATTGGGCAAAATATAGTGAAAGCTTATTGTCACTAAACCAGACCAAATAGACAAAATCCAAAGAGAAACCACTGTTTTTATGCCCCTCATTGTCTAAAATCTATGAGAATTTATCTCCAACCCCTTCAACCTTTCAGTAGTAGTTGGCTAGAATTCTGAAACCTCAGTCAGGAGAAGCAGAACTGGTATGCCCGTTTACCTAGAGTCATTCTTCACTGAGTTTCAGTTCTTAATATCTCAAAGTACCTTCCTGATTTGAAGGCCTTATCAACCTGATTGCCGTGGCATGCATACTGTAGTACAGGGCACATGCACCACAGTACAGGGTGTGGCTCTCAGCCTTGCAAGTTCAGAGATCAGCCTCTGTGACTGCTAAGAAAACAGAATCACTCCAGGTGAGATTGGTATTACTGAAGTTCATGAAGCTGATGAAGGAAATCTACTTGGATTATAAGGAAGATCCAAGTGCTCCAAGAACCTACACATTTAGTACTGCAGACTCTCAGGTCTATAAGACTATTTTCATGACTGGCCAGCCTCCCCCTGATCAGAGATGCATTCCTTTACAGAATATTTATGTAATTCATCAACTTGCAGACAAATCCCACAGGCCAGTGAGACATTTGCCTCTTTCAGAGGTCTCGTCCAACCTTCCAATCTCTCTGCTCCAATCCTTTAGGTATGGTTGTTAAACCTTACCTCTCTCATTTCTGGGATCTTAGGCAGTGGGGAGGATCTTGATTACAACTAATATATACACGGAAACCCCATCAATGACCCTTCAACCACAACATCACAGCCATCAAAACACTGTATGAATTGAGAAATCATCCATGGAGATTGTAATTCTTCTCTCACCAAATGAAAGCTGAGTCTGACAAGCTGTATCATTTGGTTTCTGTCGCTCTTACACATAAGGTTAGTACATGGACCCGGGTTGATGGATAACTATTTCATAGCTAACTATGACAAAAGTCTGCTACCCAGACCTCCCGCTGCTGAGAATAATGGACTCTCCTGTTAGGTTGGATGCCTTAAAGTCCAGCCTTGGTGATGTTCACTATAAGCTTTTGTTTCAAGAAATCCTCTCAGACTCAGAGCTACCTTCTTACATCTCAAATAAAAACTCATTTTTATCTTTTTAACTTTTTAAAATTTTTGACCTTGGTTCTAGTCCCATGATTAAATTATTTATCACTCCTTCCCATCTCTTTTGCATGTTGGTTGAATAAGGAAATAGGGTGATTCTAGAGAATTGTGATAACCTCTCCCACATCTGAGTATCTGCCTTCCAGGCATGACTCTACAGTGGGACAATTTTCCAGCTTGAATGAGTCATGGGAAAATAATCTTATGGTAGCTGAACAAACTTACTTTTGTGTGTGTATGTGTTAAAATATACATAACAAAATGTACTGTTTAACTATTTGTATATGTACAATTCCATTCCTTCCTCCTCCCAACTCCTGGTAACCACTACTCTACTTTCTGTCTCTATGAATTTGACTATTTTAGGTATCTCATATAAGTGAAATCATAAAATATTTGCTCTTTTTTTCTGGCTTATTTCACTTAGTATAATGTCTTTAAGATTCATTCATGTTGTAGCATGTAAGTATAATGTCTTTAAGATTCATTCATGTTGTAGCATGTATCAGAATGCCATTCCTTTTTAAGACTGAATAGTATTCCAGTGTATCTATATATTGCATATTGTTTATCAGTTCATTCATCAATGGGCATTTGGTTTGTTTCAACTTTTCCTGACTCAAGGAGAAGATAGAGGTTCAGAAACAAAAAATCCAGTCTGACTTTAAGACTCTCCAGAGCTTCCTTCATGAGGAAGAGAAATCTTATCTATGGAAACTGGAGGAAGAAAAAGAGCAAACTCTGAGGAGACTGAGGGACAATAAGGCCAGTCTTGAACAGAAGAACCGTGAACTCCAGAACCACATTCTGGAACTAGAGAATAAATGTCAGGGCTCAGCCCAGAAATTGCTTCAGGTAAGACTATGCACTTGGAGAAAGGAGGGAAGGTATTTGTTTTTGACCTTTTAGCAGGAGAATGGTGAGGAACCACGGGAAGCTTGGTGTGGCTTGCCTGTTCACTCAAAAATGGCACATTAGTGTAGGGAATTTAAAGTAATGTTCCTTTTAGATACACATCAATGTTTGCAAAGTGGCCCGCACCAGTCTATAGAGTGCCTTTAGGTGAATTAGAAATAATATGGTTATGGTGGGTTCCTTGGCCAAATGGAACCATGGGACAACTTTGGCTACCATTTGTTTCTGTACCATGTTTACAAAACTCTGACTGTGAGAGTGTCTTCTGAAATATCCCTTCAGATGACTGATGGGTGACAAAGTGGGGCAGTCAAAATGAGTGATAGCGTTCTCCTTGATTTGCTTGTAGAGCCCTCCAGAGCTCTTTTGGATGCAGCCCATTACAATAAACTAAACTATGATTGTAGCTGTTTTTTTTCTGTCCCTACTAACAGAACTAGGGGTCACACTGTAAGGATGAGAATATAGTTCAATGCCCCACCACCATGTGATACCTGCTGCTACCACCATAGTGGCCCAGTCTCAGGGCTTAAGGCTGGGTTCACCATTTTGGACCTTTGCAGTAAGTGTCTCTAATATGGGCTCACTCTGAAGGAAATGAGATCACTGAAAGCAAATCTTTCCAGAGGGAGCATGGGGCAAAGCTCCTGGCTTTCTTCCACATCACAGGGAGACATGATTGCAGACACTGCAGTTTCCCACAGAGCTCAGCAAGGAAGGTAACAGATAAACACCCTGATATGCTGACTATCCTATGGGGCCAGGATGGAAATCATCATTTCTGGGTATTCATCAATATCTAAGGCCAGGATTAGTCTTTTTACTTCTTTGGAAGGAGTATTTAGAGAGAACAGCCTCACATGCCAAGTCCTATGAAATATTGATGTTCTACACTTATCTTTTGTCTTTCTTTCTTCATAGGATGTGAAAGATACTTTGAGCAGGTGAGTCCTATATGAGTTCAGGAGGGAAAGAGGTGTGGGTATATAGAGCTAAACGGAATTTACACTGAAGAAGTCTTGGTTTCTGCTTATTCTAGGAGTTGGGCTGTGAAGCTAGAACAACCAGAGGCCCTCTCTTTGGACCTTCATACTGTGTGCAATGTATCGGAGCTTTACTTTGATGTAAAGAAAATGTTAAGGAGACATCAAGGTATGTGAATAAGCCCTAAATGCTACAGATAGATGGGACCTTAAGTGGTAATGAAGTTTATCACCTGTCCCCAGGCAGGCTCACAGCCAGAGGGGTCATTCAGATATCTTTAGTGTAGCTGTCACTCTCTCTTGTTAGTGTTCTCCAGTGCTTAGACAGGGACATGGGATACTGGTTATCTGTGCAGACCCACTTGGGTCCTTTGCTTAGGGTCTCACAAGGCTGCAGCTAAGGTGTTGACCTGACTGTGTTCTTATCTGGAAGCTAGACTGGGAAAGAATCCTCTTACAAGCTCACTCAGGTTGTTTGCAGAATTTATTTCTTTCAGGTTTGGCACTTAGGGCTCTGGCTTGTTGCTGACTGCTGGCTGGAGGCTGCCTTGGATTCTAGAAGCCACCCTTCAGCTGCTTGCACTTGGGCCTCCCACCTCGGCTAATTATTTCTTCAGAGTAAGCGAGAGAGAGAGACACTGAAAGTCCCTAGAGCAAGTCTGCCAGAAAGAAAGAGGCTTATAGAGTGAAATATAGTCACATCTCATCATTATTGCCATAGTCTACTGGTCAGAAACAATTCACAGGTCCTGCCCACAATCAAAGGGAAGGAATTCCATAAGAGTATGAACACTAATGAGGGTAATAAAACTATGAGCCATGCCATCTAGGGCCACCCAAGATGGACGGGTCATGGTGGAGAGTTCTGACAAAACGTGGTCCACTGGAGAAGGGAATGGCAAACCACTTCAGTATTCTTGCCTTGAGAACTTCATGGACAATATGAAAAGGCAAAAAGGTAGGACACTGAAATATGAACTCCCCAGGTCAGTAGGTGCCCAATATGCTACTGGAGATCAGTGGGGGAAAAAACTCCAGAAAGAATGAAGAGATGGAGCCAAAGCAAAAACAACACCCAGCTGTGAATGTGACTGGTGATGGAAGTAAAGTCCGATGCTGTAAAGAGCAATATGGCATAGTAACCTGGAATGTTAGGTCCATGAATCAAGGCAAATTGGAAGTGGTCAAACAGGAGATGGCCAAAGTGAACATTGACACTTTAGGAAACAGCCAACTAAAATGGACTGGAATGGGTGAATTTAACTCAGATGATCATTACACCTACTACTGTGGGAAAGAATCCCATAGAAGAAATGGAGTAGCCATCATGGTTAACAAAAGAGTCCGAAATGCAGTACTCAGACGCAATCTCAAAAATGACAGAATGATCTCTGTTTGTTTCCAAGGCAAACCATTCAATATCACAGTAATCCAAGTCTATACACTGACCAGTAATGCTGAAGAAATAGAAATTGAACAGTTATATGAAGATCTACAAGACCTTCTAGCAGTAACACCCAAAAAAGATGTCCTTTTCATTATAGGGGACTGGAATGCAAAAGTAGGAAGTCAAGAAATACCTGGAGTAACAGGCAAATTTGGCCTTGGAGCACAGAATGAAGCAGGGCAAAGGCTAATAGAGTTCTGCCAAGAGAATGCACTGGTCATAGCAAATACCCTCTTTCAACAATACAAGAGAAGACTTTACACATGGATGAATATAGAAATCAGATTGATTATATTCTTTGCAGCCAAAGATGGAGAAGCTCTATACAGTCAGCAAAAATAAGACTGGGAGCTGGCTGTAGCTCAGATCATGAACTCTTTAGTGCCAAATTCAGACTTAAATTGGAAAAAGGAGGGAAAACCACTAGACAATTTAGGTATGACCTAAATCAAATCCCTAATGATTATACAGTGGAAGTGACAAATAGATTCAAGGGATTAGATCTGATAGACAGAGTGCCTGAAGAACTATGGATGGAGTTTCATGACATTGTACAGAGGCAGTGATCAAGACCACCCCCAAGAAAAAGAAATTCAAAAAGGCAAAATGGTTGTCTCAGGAGGCCTTACAAATAGCTGTGAAAAGAAGAGAAGCGAAAGGCAAAGGAGAATAGGAAAAATAAACCCATCTGAATGCAGAGCTCCAAAGAATAGCAAGGAGAGATAAGAAAGCCTTCCTCAGTGATCAATGCAAAGAAATAGAGGAAAACAACAGAACAGGAAAGACTAGAGACTCTTCAATATAAATACCAAGGGAACATTTCATGCAAAGATGGGCACAATAAAGGACAGAAATGGTATGGACCTAACAGAAGCAGAAGATATTAAGAAGAGGTGGCAAGAATACACAGAAGAACTATACAAAAAGATCTTCACGACCCAGATAATCATGACGGTGTGATCACTCACCTAGAGCCAGACATCCTGGAATGTGAAGTCAAGTAGGCCTTAAGAAGCATCACTACGAACAAAGCTAGTGGAGGTGATGGAATTCCAGTTGAGCTATTTCAAATCCAGAAGATGATGCTGTGACAGTGCCACACTCAATATGCCAGTAAATTTGGAAAACTCAGCAGTGGCCACAGGACTAGAAAAGGTCAGTTTTCATTCCAAGCCCAAAGAAAGGCAATGCCAAAGAATGCACAACTGCACTCATCTCACACACTAGCAAAGTAATGCTCAAAATTCTCCAAGCCAGGCTTCAACAAGACATGAACCATGAACTTCCAGATGTTCAAGCTGGATTTAGCAAAGGCAGAGGAACAAGAGATCAAATTGCCAACATCCGTTGTATCATCGAAAAAGCAAGAGATTTCCAGAAAAATATCTACTTTTGCTTTATTGACTACACCAAAGACTTTGTGTGGGTCACAACAATCTGGAAAATTAGAGATGGGAATACCAGACCACCTGACCTGCCTCCTGAGAAATCTGTATGCATGTCAAGAACAGTTAGAACTGGACATGGAACAACAGACTGGTTCCAAATTTGGAAAGGAGTACTTCAAAGCTGTATATTGTCACCCTGTTTATTTAACTTATATGCAGAGTACATCATGAGAAGTGCTGGACTGGATGAAGCACAAGCTGGAATCAAGATTGCCGGGAGAAATATCAATAACCTCAGATATGCAGATAACACCACCCTTATGGCAGAAAGCGAACTAAGGAGCCTCCTGATGAAAGTGAAAAACTAGAGTGAAAAAGTTGGCTTAAAACTCAACATTCAGAAAACCAGGATCATGGCATCTGGTCCCATCACTTCATGGCAAATAGATAGGGAAACAGTGGAAATAGTGACAGACTATTTTTTGGGCTCCAAAATCACCAGAGATGGTGACTGCAGCCACGAAACTGAAAGACACTTGCTCCTTGGAAGAAAATTTATGACCAACCTAGACAGCATATTAAAAAGCAGAGACATCACTTTGCCAACAAAGGCCTGTCTAGTCAAAGCTATGGTTTTTCCAGTAGTCATTTATGGATATGAAAGTTGGACTATAAAGAAAGCTGAGCACTGAAGAATTGATTCTTTTTAACCATGGTGTTGGAGAAGATTCTTGAGAGTCCCTTGGACAGCAAGGAGATCCAACCAGTCCATCCTAAAGAAAATGTCCTGAATATTCATTGGAAGGACCGATGCTGAAACTCCAATACTTTGGCCACCTGATGCAAAGAACTGACTACTTGGAAAAGACCCTGATGCTGGCAAAAGTTGAAGGCAGGAGGAGAAGGGGACAACAAAGAATGAGATGGTTGGATGGCATCACCGACTCAATGGGCATGAGTTTGAGTAAAATCTGGGAATTGGTGATGGACAGGGAGGCCTGGCATGCTGCAGTCCATGGGGTCAAAAAGAATCAGACATGACTGAGCAACTGAACTGAACAGAACAGATGAACACTAAGAGGCAGAATCATGGAAGGCTCCCTTAGTGTCTGAGTGACATCATGATGAAACCTGAACTGAATGGAAATGGGAAAATTTAAACTCCCTATTTATCCTGCTTAGTTTGAAAGTCTGTTTTACTGCAGATATATTGATGCATTAGATTACAAGACACTGTCTTAGACTCTGAAAAGCGAAAGTGAAGGTCACTCAGTCATGTCCGACTATGGAGACCCCATAGACTATACAGTCCATGGAATTCTTCAGGCCAGAATACTGGAGTGGGTAGCCTTTCCCTTCTCCAGGGGTTCTTCCCAACCCAGGGATCGAACCCAGGTCTCTTGCATTGTGGGAGGATTCTTTACCAGCTGAGCCACAGGAAAGCCCAAGAATACTGGAATGGGTATCTTCCCAATCCAGGAACTGAATTGGGGTCTCCTGCAGTGCAGGTGGATTCTTTACCAACTGAGCTATGAGGGAAGCCCACCTTAGACCCTACCAGGGGTCTAATTAGAGCATCTGTATTTCTTGCCTTTATAACATCAAAAATATTCTGAATTTCAAAACCCATTTGGCCCCAGGGGTTTCCGATAAGGATAATGAACCCATATTCAGTTCCCCCTCAATTTATCAAGACAAACAACAGTAACAACCACTACCAAGGTCTGTGATTGGTTTCCAAAGAGCTCAGTAATCAACCATCTTTCAGGTGATATTACTAACCTGTAAAAATTTGATTTTCTCAGCTTGATTTTCCTGGATCATTCCGGGAATATTAATTGAAGCCCCAAACTTTGTGAGTCTGGCTCATGATAAAGACTCACTGAACAGAGTTAATAAAGGGATGTTTACAAAGATGAGGATTTTAGTGCTAACAAGGAACAGTGAAGCAACCCAAAGCTAGGAATACGTAGGAAGTCATCACCTTCCCAGGGTTTCAGTAGCAGATAGAGGGAGCTGTAGCTAAAGGAGAGTGTGACCAAACACAGACCCTCCAAATCACAGCCAGTAGGGAGGGACTTGGGGTACTAAATACTTCTAATTCTGCTTCTATTTGCCCTACGGTCTCCTCTAGGCCTTCCTATTGGCTTAACCAAACAGTAGTTAGAGGGAAGGGAGCCTTGTTGAGGTGTCCAGAGGGGTTACCCTTTCTGGACATGGAGCAGGCTGGAGAAAGGTAGAGAGTGATCTGGAGGAGCAAAGGGAGGACATCCAGCACAGGAAGTTTTTCCTAATACTTGATTTTCCTTATTACCACAATCCAACTGATCAGTGTTTAACCCAGTAACACAGTAGTTCGTAACTCTCTTGCTGTAACACCCTACTACCACTTTTCATTTTTAAAATTGCACTGCTGGTCAGTATCACTCTTTAGTTTATCATACCTTTTTCTGTCTTACTTGACTCTAGTCAGGTATATTACTCTGTATAATCCCTATAGAATATTACCTGAAACAAGAAAGTAGAGCTGAGGTATATGTCCTGAAGCCTGGGTAAAATTCTGGGATTTCCAATAACAAGTTATGACATCAGTTGTATCATTTTCCTTCTCTGATCCTCAGTGTAAATGGTAATTAAGTAGAGATGAGGAAGGGCTCATTTATGCTTCAATATTCCATGATTCCTAGAAGTCCTCCAAGAGAGAGGAAGGACTTTGGAGAGGAAGTTAATCAAGTTAACTATGGCTAGTCCTGCTCCTTGGCTTCTCTGAGTGACTAAGATGGTGACGATGTTGAAGATGATGATGATGATGTTATCATTATTATTACTACCACTTATTGGGCACTTATCTTGGTGATAGATATGATGATTTCCACTTTATATTTAACAAAACTGAGGCTTAGAGAATGAACTGCCTAAGCTCATGAAAGTTAGTAATTAACAATGCTTGGATCTGAACACAGGCTGGTTTTATTTAAAATAAACTGTGCTCTCAGCTACAAAAATCATGTCTTTATTTTTGTTTGCAGTCAGCGTGACTCTGGATCCAGATACAGCTCATTATGAACTAATTCTGTCTGAGGATGGGAGACAAGTGATTCGTGGATGCCCTCAGGAGAAGCTTGATAATTCTTCTAGGAGATTTAGTGCCTTGCCCTGTATCCTGGGCTGTGAAGGCTTCACTTCAGGGAAACATTACTTTGAAGTAGATGTGGGAGAAGGAACTGGGTGGGATTTAGGAGTCTGTATGGAAAATGTTCAGAGGGACACTATCATGCTGCCGACGCCTCAGTCTGGATTCTGGGCCATCAGACGGTGCAAGGAAGGCTATGTAGCTCTTACTTCTCCCCTAACTTCCATTCAACTGACAGAGCAGCCCCTGGTTGTGGGGATTTTTCTGGACTTTGAAGTTGGAGTTGTGTCCTTTTACAATATGACCACTGGCTCTCACATCTTCACCTTCCCAAAGGCCTCCTTCTCTGACACTCTCCGGCCCTATTTCCAGGTCTATCAGTATTCTCCTTTGTTCCTGCCTCCCCCAGATGAGTAAGGGACAGACCAAAGTCCCCTCCTTGGTTTAACTAGTATACAGAATATAATCTAAATCTCATGAGGACAGAAATGTAGTCTCTTTTCTTCACTGCTATTTCCCTGTACCTAGAACAGTGCTGGGCTTTTCGTGCATAGTTAATAAATTTGCATTGAATAAATGGTTATAGTGACTGTAAAAATACACCAAAGGGTCACACTGAACTGGGGGAAAGCAAGATAATAGCAATGATTTTGCTTTGTCCTCTCCATCCCTCTTCAATGGGTTCAGAGCTTTGATTTCTAGAGTAGAGTGCTTTTTTTCAGAGAAAATTCTATATCCTTAAACACTTATATTGTTAAAAATAATGATAAAATAAACATTCAAGTAAATAAATTTAATTAACAAAATAAATATTTGGAAACTATAAGAATAATAAAGATAAAATTAGAAGTTAATTTTGATTCTGGCAAGTTTTAGAAAGAAAAATAAGTCCTACTAGTCCTTTTAGGTTAAGAATGCTACTATATTTAGATAAACCATTGGCTGCTCTACTAAAAAGGAAAATACATAAAAAATAGAAACATGAAAGGGCACATACTGGAATAATAATTTTGAGAGCAATTTGAAGAATTATGTGCAAATAAAATCGAAAATCTTAATTAAATGACTTTTTCAAAAGAAACTAAATGACCTAACTGACTCAAGAAGGGGAAAGAAAAGCTAAACAGACTAATACATAAAAATGTAATTCAGAAAGTTACAGAATTCCGATTAATATTTAGGGAAAAAAGCAAAACAAAGAGCAGATGGTTTTATGGTTGCATTTTTTCTAAAGATAGCAACTCATTGTGCCCCTGAAGATTCAGTTAAGTTCTATAGAATAGAAAACACAAACAGACAGTGGCTGAAACAAGTTCTCTCTCTCATGAAGAAGCAGTCCAGATGTGGAAGTACAGGAAATCCAGTCTAGGGCTGGTATAGCAACCCCAAGAAATTGCCAAGCCTTCCAACAACCCTTGCACTATTGCTAGGATCCAAGGCAGTTTCTAAAGCTCCAGCCATCACACCTGCATTCCAAGCTTTAAGATGGAAAGAGAGACACAGAACTAGAGCAAAGGGCATGCATTCAAGAGCTATCTTTTACTACCTACCCTACAACCTTCTGCTTTAATGTGATTAGCCAGAACTTGTCCAAAGCCACCTTCCTCCTTGTCCACCTTGGTGAGGCAGTAATGAACTTGGGCAACTTAGCTCCACCTTGTTAGAATTCTGAGCAAGACTCATCAGAGAGCTACAGGGAATGTGACTCCCAGACCCACCCAACCCATTGTCTCACATCAGTCTGGAAAACCCTCTCATAGCAGGCAGAATCTGTGGGCAGCATTTGGTACATATTTAGCCAAGAAACAAAAGAAGAGATGTCCTCTGGTGCCCCTTCCTCATACCTTTTTGATACCCCATGCCCTGTAATTGCGTGAGGTGTTAGGTACGTGAAGTGTATGTGGTGCTGCAGCAGAAGACCAGAGACACAGGAGAGAGCAGGAGTAACAGGATAGCAACTGAGAGAAGCAGAGAAACATAAATAGTCCAGATAAAGCAGTGTCTGTTCTTAGGTAAAGTTCAAATTCCTCACAATGGCCTAGAAGGCAGTCTGGCCCACAGACCTTGCCTTCCTGGATGAATAGTCTACTCTTCCATTCTCACCTTTCATAAACAGTAACCTTCTCTTTGGTCCTAGATAATGCCAAGGTCATTCTGGTCCAAGAGCCTTTGAGCCTAATATGTTCTAGGATCAGAGTAGTGTTTTCCATATCTGCCTTTTCTGAAGTTGGGTGAGCTCATTTCAATCACCAGCTTGGCAGACAGGAAGTATCAGGGAATTAACATCCCAGAAGGAAAACTTCAACTGAAGAGGGAATGGTGTGGGTGGATAAAGCTTCACCAAATGAGCTTCAGACAAACAATTCTGAGACCCCATTACACAGTGCCTCAGAGGACATCCAGGAAATAGAAGCAAGCACTCAAAATGGGAAACAGGTCAGGAATGCACTTGAGACTGCCTTTTCCACCTTCCAGTGATACAGCCTCCCTGTTCTAGCACCCTGCATCCCAGTTACCACCTTCTCCTACATCCAGGTCTCAGCTCAACGTTTCAGTGACATGGGACTTCCCTGTGGTCCAGTGGCTAAGACTCCATGCTTACCATTCAGGGAATCCAGAATCGATCCCTGGTTAGGGAACCAGCTTCCATATGCCACAATGAAGAATGCTGCAATGAAAGATTCCACATGCTACAATGAAGATCCATGTGCCACTATTAAGACCTGGCACAGACAAATAAATAAATAAATAATAAAAAAAATAATTTTTCAGAGACAGCAACCACTGCTACCTCCCCCTCTCTTTTCCTTTTTCAATATATAAATATGGAAATAGCTTTAGTTATTAAATGATTAAATTAACAGATATATATTTTATGGAATACTGTAAAATACAGTAATAATACTCTTAGTTCTAAGGAATGCACACTCCAAATCACCTTCCCCATATATATGTCTGATCTTGCTTTTTTTTTTCCTCAGCTTTTCCCCATGGCATTAAACATTATGTTAAGATGTGGTTTTAAATGACTAGTGATCTCATAATCGCACATACACTCAATTGTCTCTTGCAATTTAATGTTGAAATGAACGTCAATGTACGTAAATAGGTTTTCACTTCTCTTGTTTTACTCAGGTGAATTTTTGAAAGAGAATTTCCGAGTCACAGTATATGAACATTTGTTTAAAATACTACTGATATATTCTTATCTCCCTCCTTCCCTTTCTTCCTCTTCCCCAACCTGCCTCGTATGTTTCCACAACTCTCACTGTCATCAATCAAACCCTCTAAGAGCTGGGAACCTGAAGGGACTTTGATAATGTGGAAAACTATAGGCTGGGGAATCAGACTGGAGAATCTTTCTGAGGAGATGGGAATGAGACTGCTAAGTGAAAACATCACTGGAGCCTAGACCACTTCATTAGCTCTCATTTCTGTTTCCTAATGTAGGAAAGGGAGGGATATAAAAATGGAAAAAATGGAGGGGAGAGGGGGAGAGAATAAGGATCTGGATGTATCTAGGATTTGCTACAGAGCATGGGTTGCTTCTCTTGAAGGACAGGCAGAATTGAGACTGTCCTAGAAGACTAATTCATGGCCATTCATTAAGCATGTGCCGATTTTTGATGAGTATCAAACCACCTGAAAACTTAGTTGCTTAAAACTACTACCATTTGTTCACTTACAATTCTGTAGCTCAGCCAGTGGTTCTCGTAGTGAGGGTTAAATTCTGCTGGGTCTTCTCAGGTGTTTCCATCAAATAGACAGTTGACTGGCATTGGGTGATATGGGATAGCCTCACCTGCAAGTCTGGCAGTTGGCAGGCTCTTGACTTGGGCGCTTTAACCTCCAACAATGAGCTCAGTATCTTTCATAACATAGGAATTTCAGGGTTGTGAGAGAATCAAGATGTGTGAAAGCTGCACTATGCCAGGCTATTTTCAACCATCTGCTTGGGTCACATTTGTTAAGTCACTTGGTCAAACCCAGATTCAAGAGACAGAGAAAAAAATTAACTCCAGTTCTTGATGGAAGGAGAAGCTACAAAGTCACGTTGCAAAAAGCAATGGGATAAGATAAATTTAGGAAATTTTTGCAATTTATCCTAAGAAACTTGCTGCATAAAGTCTCAAAATCTAAATTAAGGAGGGACAGAGATACAGAGACATTCTGAGTCCCTAGCTCTCAACAGACCCAGTGCCTGTTTCTTTCCAGAAACAAGATTTATTAGAGCTTTCAGTGCTGTCAGTAATTACACTTTCTTCATCCACACAAACAGCCTCAGGGCCTGGGATTCTGTGAGAACTGATCCTCACATCCTTCTCTCTCAACCTTGCCCACTCACACTACCAAGCCTGAAGTGGAATCTCTGCACTAGTTTTTTGGGACTCTCAGGGAGGGAAGAAGTGTTTATGCAGCAGCTGGGATTGAAAATGCAGGAAGCTCCACACCTAGGCACTTCACCCCAAATAGTCCCTCTTCACCAGGAATAAGGAAGACAAAGTGATTGTTGTTCAAGAAGATACTAGATTAGCATATTAATAAGCTTGTGGACCACAGACTATGCTACTCTCTCCTTGAGTTTATCCTGATTTCCCCATTTTTTCCAAGTAAAAGTGATCCAATCTGTGAAACTCCAAGAACTAGGCGTTGCCTCGACACTTTAGTCCACAGGCAGGGCCTCCAATCTTCAAAGCTCCCTCTGTCTTTTATTTTAGCCATCTGTCCTTTCTCTTCAAGACCTAAATTCTCTGAGGATGGGACTGGATTTTTTCTTTTTTTTCAATCTTGATACCACTCCTGAGTTCCTGCTTTAGTTTGCTGGACATCCTGGATCCATTAAAGATATTAGGTAAAGTTTAAAAATAAAATGATCCACCTTCCCAGGGTCCAGTCCAATTTCTGATTTTAATGAACAAGTGACACTACCTCTCTGGGTCTCCATCTCTTCAAGTGTAATAGTGGGGCAATAATCCCAGGTTGTAGTGAGAAATGCTCAGGCACAAAGCACTAGCTATACAATAAAATAAACAGGCGTTTTTATTTTTTATATAATGATTTCAAAGCCCTTTCATACTTTTAAGACTTGCTGAAGAGGAATTCTTGGGCCACCATCACTTAATCTTTGTGGCATCCTAGGTAATTCAATTATTTCTCTGGGCCTTCCGCTATTTCAAAAATATTAACTCTGAAGATTGACAAAGAAGAACATTCACTACTGTGTGGGGCTCGGCCCACTACTGTATGGGACTGTAGCACGTCTGTGGTTCCCAACCGTTGAAGCAAATTCCTAGAGATACTTTAAATAACTTAGGGAAGCCTGGCTTGCCCCAAATTAAAAAGGGATGTAGATATAACGGAGGGGAGCTCAGGCAGAGGTCTGACATTCTGAGGTTCTGCAGGTAACACGGAAGGGTCTTCTCCCCCTGGGGGTGTCGTCAGGCATCACTTCTTTGGCCTTACGCAGGCCCACCACACCCCCAGAAGAGCCACAAATGATTTCACCACTTCCCCCAAATCTACGGGGCACTCTCATTTCTCTCCAGATGCGGGTGCTGGGAGGAAGGGGTGGGGTTCAAGGTCTCGCCCCAACTCGGGCCATGTGTGTCCCCCCCAGCTAAAGCAGGGCGGGCGGCAGGACCCGTGGGGGTTGCCCTAACGCTGCAGCCTCCCTTTCACATTTTCTGGTGGCCGGCCGCTGTATGGAGTCCAGGACTCCGCGCATTTCGCGAACTGGTGGGGGCTGTTCTATGAGGATGAGGGGAGGAGGGGCGTTTAAGTTACATATCCTTTCCCTACCACAGTCCGTGACGTATTTCAGGAAAGTTCTGAAAAGACAAGGTCACGAGTTTATTTCTTAAAAAGATGTTTTCCAGGTTTTGTTTGTTGGTAAGGACGATCCGTCTTTCCTCATTTGTGATTCTTACACCCGAAATTCGGTTGTTCACTAGACGCCCGCGCAGAGACCAGCAAGTAGGCAGTCGCTGTGAAGATAGTCCCGTCGCTACCGCGGCTCCACCACAGACCTAAGGAGAGGAAATCTCGCGAGGCCGCATTCCAGCGTCACCAGCGTAAGAAACGCAACTGAGACCCGGGGCCCGCGCGCCGCGTGGGGTCCCGACCTTCGCTTACCGCAGAAGCCCCGCCCACCGCAGAAGCCCCGCCCACAAAGCTGGCCCCGCCCCGGCAGCCGAGAGTACCGTTACCGCCCCCTCTCCCTCGCCCTCGCTACTGCCTTTATAAGCCCTATATGTACCCCACGCGTAACTTGTTTTTCGGCTTCTCTGACTGGCCAGCATTCTTGGCGCAGACCCAGCATCTTTTCACCTGAGAGGTCACTCCGCGTCCCTAAGTCAAAGTGAGGGTCTGAGGCTGGAATGCAGCAAGCATCTTGGGGATCTCTGCTGATCCTTTTTTCATTTCTCTCTGAGGACGAGAACTCTGGGAAATGAGCTGATCCAGGTGGACTCTTGGAAACCCCAGGTCTGCCAGCAAGAAAAGAGGCAGGGTGAGTAAAGATAGTCCTAGGGTGGGGTGGCAGGAGGGCGAGGGTGAGGCGGCAGGAGGGCGAGGGTGAGGCTGGTGTGGAGTCCATGAACCTGCAATTCCTTCTAGCCACGCTTTGTAGTTACTGTTTGTTTTTTTTTTTTCCTGTGAAAGAGTTCAAATGGAAAAGTACAAAAAATAAGTAGTGGAAATCTGCGTATTCAACCCCCCAATTTTTAAAAGTTAACATTTGACTTATTGCTTTAGATTGTTTTTAGAGAAATAAAAAGGTGACACGCTGAGGTAAGAACATCACCTATCTCTCTTAGGGGTATCCATGCTTCTGAAGATAGGTTCTATTCTCCCAGTAACTGCTTTTGTTAAAAATATTAAGTATTTTCCCTAAGATTAGATGACATAATTTCCATGAATTTTTAAGGTCAAGCAAAGCAATATCCAGCACTCCCTGGTGTCCTTGGGAGTTCCCTTGTGACTCAGCTGGTAAAGAATCTGCCTGCAATGTGGGAGACCTGGGTTCGATACCTGGGTTGTGAAGATCCTCTCGAGAAGGGAAAGGCTGCCCACTCCAGTGTTCTGGCCTGGAGAACTCCACGAAAATCCTTGGGGTCGCAAAGAGTCACACGATTGAGTGACTTTCCCTTTCACTAAAGCAATATTAAATGTTGTCTTGTTGCACTGACCTTTTATATCTAAACTTCTGTCCCTTGCTTTTTTCCCCATGTGGTATTGATTTTGTTTACCTATGTAGATGCACGCAGTGTAGTCTATCCCATTGAAAGGATAAATCATAATGTGCTCCTGTGTCCCTCTGTTGAAGAACATTTAGGCTGTATACTTCCACAGTGTGGAGAACTGGCAGGCTCTGCTACTGTGATCTCATGCTGTTTCTAAGATGTTTCCCAAAGACCTTTCAACATGTGTGTAAGACCTTTCCTGTTGCTGTATGTAATTTATCTAAATCCTATCTAATCCTAGTGTGTGTGCACCTCTCCCTCCCCTCCCTCCCATCCAGTTAACCTTTTCACCCTCCCAGTGGTAGACTTTCAGATTCCAACAGTTACTCTTAATAAGTGCTGCCAGGTACTCAGATGTGGCATAGTGAGAGACAGGACATATCAATATGATGTCACCTAGGGTTCAAGTAGCATAGTCCTTAACCTCAAGGCTTTCCTGGTGACTCAGATGGTCAAGAATCTGCCTGCAATGCAGGAGACCTGGGTTTAATCCCTGGGTCAGGAAGATTGTCTGGAGAAGGGAATGGCAACCCACTCTTCTCCAGTATTCTTGCCTGGAGAATCCCATGGATAGAGGAGCCTGGTGGGCTACAGTCCGTGGGGTTGCAAAGAATCAGATACAATGAACGACTAACACTGGAGAGAGCTAACCCTAGCTGCTCAGCAGGAACCCTAATTTAGACCAGGTGGTTCGAGTTGGTGATCCCATGTGTATGAAGGCCCAGGGTATGTGCTGGGATGGGGAGGGAGAGAAGGGAGAATCTAGAAAGGGCCTGTTCTCCAGCTCTTCCCATTTACTTGTTTCAGTAGGTGTAGTCTTACCATTAAGTATTGATCTTTTTAGTTTTATTTGTCTAACCAGTATTTTCTTTCAAAATTAAAGTGTTCACTAAAGTTTAACATATGTTTCTATCCCCACATGAATGAGTTTATCTGATAGCTTTTTCTTGATAGATAAGCTGATAAATGAGAACAATGTGAAACAACCAGAATAATGGAACTTGGAAAGTTGAAGAGTAGCTTTTGTTAAGGAGGGCAGCTTTTAAAACCATAGGCTAAAATAAAATTTAGAGGTTTTTAATTTTAATTCATCATACCACTGTTTATCCCTTTTTTCATATATAATAAGGAGTTGATTATACAATTCTTAATGTTGTATTGTGCCTAATTATCCTTAAAATAATTGTCACCCCATTCCAGCCAATAATATAATAAAAAAATCAACTTTATTGAAGGATAACTTATACACAATAAAATGCACCTGTATTAGTATCAATGAGTTTTATAGACCAGTATGTGTAGTTACCACCTTAATCAAGACACAGAACATTTCCATCAACTTAGATAGTTCCCCTGTGCCTCTTTGTAGGCAATTCCCTGGGCTATATATATCAACTTGGAGAGAATTAACATCTTGACAATTTTAAGCCTTGATTATGGTGGTGGTAAATGCAGATATACAAAACTCATCAAGCTGCACATTTAAATTATGTGTAGTTTACTGTATAAAAGGGATTTCGATGAAATAAAAAATAAAGATCAAAAATAAAAATTACCTCAGCTACTACCTCTTATTATTGACATGATTCATAATGATCAGAATCATTTGGCTTGTCCATCTTTTTATCAGTAGGCTCTGTATTTGAGGTGCTGCACTGGTTCATTAGTTTATCTCAAAACCAACCAGTTGATGCTGGCCTCTGTGATGTGGCAGGATGGGGAGAAAGGTCACAGCCAGATAATGAGAGTCAGCAAAGCACCTGTGTCAGAGATTATTAAATTTTGTTAAGTACAGTCCCTTTCCTCTTCTTCCTGGATTCAAAGTTAGACTCTTTCTTGTCAAATGACTGAATTTGAAAAGAAGTTAGACCCTTCTTGTCAAATGACTGAATATTAGTTTGTAGAAGGTAGGCAAAAGTGGTGTGTACCCCTTTAGACTTAGCCAAAAGTGGCGTGTACCCCTTCAGAACTGCCAGTCACAGTTCTCCATCTTTTTTCTCTTTAGAGTCCATGAGTCAGACTAGCCCCATGGCATCCTTGGAGCCACGACCTGAAGAGAGACAAGCCACAAAGTAGAAGGAGCTACATTTGCAGCACCACTGGAGAACAATCACCTCCAAGGGATTTGGAGAGAAGTCTTTTCTAATACCCACTTTTAAGTCCCAGTTGTATTTTCTTTTATTCTCCTAGCACTCAGTGTTGTTGAGGGGAAATTCTAGATTTCCCATAATATCTTGGTCATGAAACTGAAATGAAAGTCAGTCTGTCATGTTCGACTCTTTGTGACCCCATGGAGTATAGCCAGCCAGGCTCCTCTGTCCATTGGAATTCTTCAGGCAAGAATACTGGAGTGGGTAGCCATTCCCTTCTCCGGGGGATCTTCCTGACCCAGGGATCAAACCTAGGTCTTCTGCATTGCAGGCAGATTCTTTACTGCCTGAGCCACCAGGGAAAAAGGTCTTTATGTATATGGAAGGCAAAGCAGATCAGGACCAGAGCAGGCTGAGAGCTGTAAGACTCCACAGGGTAGGGGAGACCTTGTAGAACTGTAGAACAGTGGTGCAGAGGTGAGCATTGCCATCAGGATGGGTCTTTGGGGCATGCCAGCATCCACCAGAGACTGGAAGGACTATTTAGAGAAATTGGTTAAAAAAACCCAAAAACTTCAGGTTACTTACTGCTGTCGCAAAGGGTTGGTTGGGCTTAGAATGATGGGTAAATCAGGCATTAACATCTCCATTTTACTAATGAAGAAATTAAGTTTTATAGAGAATAAGGGTGTTTTTGTACCTGTTACAGTACTTAGTTCATAGTAGATACACAGTAAATATTTGTTGAGGGAATTCCCTAGTGATCCAGTGGTTAGGACTTGATGCTTTCACTACCTTAGACCTGGGTTAGATCCCTGGTCGGGGGAACTAAGATCCAGAAAGCCAATAAAGAAATAAGTAAATAAATAGATAAATATTTGTTGAATGAATGAATGATTCTCTAATCTAAGACCTTTAATGGTTATGCCTTCTACCAAGAATTGAGAACTTGGTGGTATATAGAGGGATAGGGGACTGGGAAGGAGGACAGACAGCTTGTAGTTGGGTACAGAATGTTCATATGTGCTCTCTGGTGTCCCCTTGGTCCTACCACTCCCCACTCCCCATTGCCTTGGGACTCATTCCATTTACACATTAATGTCATCAGTCTCCCATGGGCTTCAGTTGTGTGGAATCTCTTTCTACACTTCTGGAGTTGTCCCCACCCCTATCAGTTTGCCCTCTCCCATCTCCTTCTTCCCATTGCCTTCCCCACCTCTCCCTCCCATCCTGCCATATCTATTCACATATGTCTTCTGTATTTTGTTGAGTTTTTTTTTTTTTTTATGTTATAAGCATAAGTCCTTAGGCAGCTGTGCATAATATGATGAACCTGGAGCCCTAAGCAAAGAATGGAGTTGTGACAGATATACCTTCTACAAGTCTATGTTACACTTAATAAGATATATAAATATTGTAAGGCCCCCTGTGGCTCAGATGGTAAAGAATCTGCCTGAAGTATAGGAGACTCAGGTTTGATCCCTGGGTTGAGAAGATCCCCTGGAGAAGGGAATGGGAACCCACTCCAGTATTACTGCCTGGAGAATTCCAATGGACAGAGGAGCCTGATGGGCTACAGTTTATGGGATTGCAAAGAGTTGGACATAATCGAGCCACTAACAGATCACATCAAATACTATTGTATCATGTGGTTATTAGGCAAACACAATAAGCAGTGCTTTAAAATTATAGTTAATGTAACACTTATAAACATGTCAAATTTTATCCTTATTTTGTGTTTATTAGCTGCTATTAACTACCTGGGCATCTTATATGAGTTATTTTATTGTATTCTATGCTGCAGGAGGGGTTGGAAAGCATTGTCTTCAAGGAGCTTTAAAGGTCCTGTTTGGACAGATAAAAGCTAAAACAAGGGAAGCAGGGAGTGATACTGTTGCAGGGTGAAAGTTGTGTAATGCTAACTGGGCAGAGTTCTCCCAGAAACATCTGGGACCACTGAGACCCATTTCTTTGGAAATCTTGAGACCAGATAATTGGATGAAGCTTTATACATCCCCATCCTATTCCTTTTTGGTCACTGTCCAAATTGTCACCTCCTGGTTATGATCCTCCCCACAGTCTGCTTTTTATCTTCTCTACTGGGACCCCAGGATCAAAAGATGACACCCCTCATACATACATCACAGTACATACACAGTGCCTGTGGGTCCGTGAGGTGTGGGAAAGAAATTCTCCATCCCTTCCTGCAGGGCTCAGGCCTTCTCCGATGAAGGTTGCTTTTTGAGGAGGTCTCTCCTGGAATTTCTGCTGGGTTTGGGAGCCAATTCCCTCCCCATGCTCCACCTTGGCAAATAGAGATTTCCCCTCCCTCCTCATTTCTGTTTTGCCACCATATCAGACCTTGCTTTTACCCAGGACTTTTGCCCTTTTTATAGAGAAAACCAAAGCCATGGGTAGGAACTCCACCAACATGCAGTCAGATTTATGTATTGTTATGTCTTGCTGAAATATGGCAGATAAGATGATGAAGTTTTGGCCTTACTGGGTTTTGTTTGTTTTAGTAGCTGGAAGACAGAGAAACGTAAGATTAGTAAGCTTTCTACTAGCCATCACCTTTGTAATTTATGCAATAATCCAAACTATATGTTCACTTCAGTTCAGTTGCTCAGTTGTGTCCACCTCTGCGACCCCATGGACTGCAGCACACCAGGCCTCCCTATCCATCATCAACTCCTGGAGTTTACTCACTCATGCCCATTGAGTCGGTGATGCCATCCAACTATCTCATCCTCTGTCATCCCTTTCTCCTCCTGCCTTCAATCTTTCCCAGCATCAGGGGCTTTTCAAATGAGTCAGCTCTTCGCATCAGGTGGCCAAAGTATTGGAGTTTCAGCTTCAACATCAGTCCTTCCAATGAATATTCAGAACTGATTTCCTTTAGGATGGACTGGTTGGATCTCCTTGCTGTCCAGGGGACTCTCAAGAGTCTTTTCTAACACCACAGTTCAAAAGCATCAATTCTTCGGCGCTCAGCTTTCTTTATAGTCCAACTCTCACATCCATACATGACTACTGGAAAAACCATAGCTTTGACTAGACGGACCTTTGTTGGCAAAGTGATGTCTCTGTTTTTTAATATGCTGTCTAAGTTACAAACCCTCAAATCAGTTGAAACTTAAATGTGTCCTATCTGATAAGAACACATTTAAAGATTTTTAAATTAGGATTTGATAGAAAATTCTAAATAAATTTGATATAAAAGTATAGTTCTTTTTTTCCTAGCAAAAAATTTTTTTTAAATGGGTAACCATTTTTCTAGTCACTTAGAAGTAGGGAACATGATGGTTATTAAAGGCCTCCAATTTCTACCTTTTCTGTGGCAGCCTGCCATCAGCCAGAGGCCTCCCTCTGCTGGACAACTCTGGGAACATCAAGTTCCTCATTCCATAATTTCTTCTCTCCTTGTTCTAGGTGAATACATCCCTTTGGGGGGCCTCTTGAAGGTGCTCTTGAAGTCCTGCACCCTGACATTTTAATATCACTTTTGTTTCACTTGAATTCCAGAGGTGTCAGCTTGTTGTCTTTAGGAAGGCCCCCTTTAGCTGCAAATCTCTTTCTGAGTTCTACCTTTTAAAAAATCTTCCTTATGGAAGGAACAGGTTCGAGGTGCTCTGGCTACAGTTGAGAAAGCTTCTGGTTTATTGGTGAAGATGTACTGACAGAATGAGAAACGACTGTGGGCTCATGAAAGGGGGCTTCCAAGATAGAAACTGACTGGAAACTCAGGATGGAGACAGAAAGAATCAGCATATACTGAATACCTGCTGAGGAGTTTTAATCTAACCTGTACCATGTAAAGATGGACTCCTGCAAACAGTCATAGTCTCTTCCCCTGAGCTAGGTTCCCTCTTTTAAAACTGAGAGTTTAGCAGCAGTTTTAAATACTGAACTCCACAGCTGAGAGAATGGAACTGTCTTCACAATGAAACTGACTTCACAATTGCAGGCAAGTTCTGTGCTCAGCCATGTGCACCAAGAGGCAAGACTCTTGGCTTGTGCGCAAAGAGCTTAACTTACAATAAATAAGCAAAGGGAAGCACAAAGAGGTGGAATAATGATTCATTTTTATGGGTGATAAAATGTCAGGACCAGGTCTCCTCTATCCTTTACCGTTCTTTATATTCTCCACCTCATTCACCCCCTTGGTGACCTCACCAAGTCTCATGACTTTAAATGCCATCCATATACCAATGATTCCAAAATGTATGGCTCCAACTTAATTCAACTCCATCCTCCCCTAAACTTCTCTGTCAAAGCTGCTACTGACATCCATACCACTAAACCAAGGAACTATTCTCAGGCATCTAGTCACTTCAGTCTATCAGCAATATTTGAACCCAGTTAATTTACTCCCTTATCCGCTTGGGAAATCTCTTAGACTCTGCGAGTTTCACAACAAAATTTCTGATTCACCCTCCCAGCTCCATCATAGCACACTTGCTTCTCTCTTATAGATGATCATTTTAGGAAAACTCATCTCATTCTTCTAGTTTATTCTTTCAGCCACATTGAGTTTGAGAGCTCACAACATCTAAGAAAGCATTGAATAAAAGAGAAAAACCACATGATAATATCAATACATGAAGAAAGTCTAGCTGCCATTTAATTTAAAAAAGTAGAAAACAATTGAAGGGAACCACTTAAATATAGTGGAGATACAAAAAATTAATAACATGCTAAAGGACAAAATAATACCATGTTAATTAAAACCAAGAACTAAACGGGGCTCACTACTAAAAATATTATTCAAATTTACTGTGGAAATTCTTAGCAAATGCAGTACAAAAAACCTTAAATGCTTGGTATTCACATAAAAAAAAGTTTGCACCCTTATATGTAAAAGTTTTACAACTAATTGAGTTTCGTTGAGTTTAAGTGAGTAAACCGGGCTCAACATATGGTATTGTGTTTTTTCCCCTTGGATGTGAAAAAAGTAGTAATTAAACTGAATTCCGAAATTAAAACTTCGAAAGAGCCAATTCTATAAACGTGTCCCCAAATATCAATACTTAACCTGGTGTAGCACACCAGGGTTGAAAACCCTGCGCCGGGAGAAATACTAGTTAGGCACAGAGGGGAAATTTCAAATATTATTCAATCTGGGCAGTTCTGTCTCCAGGAGCAGAGGAACCCGGTAAAAGGTTTTGGGCTTTAGCTCTAAAATTCCAGGGCAGCCAAGTTCTCTTGACCCTGGCGGGAAACTAGCTGACAACCTGCCCTGCAAATGGTCCAGGCGTAAGTCGGCCGAGCCTGGCCTCGATGGCGCAGCCTAAGGCTTCCGAAGACACCAATCTGAGTGCCGGGTAAGCCGGCGGATCACCGTCGTTCCCAAGGTCACCTTAAAAGCATTTCAGAGCCACCCAATTTTGGAAAAAGCCAATTTAGCGATAGCGATATGGCCCAAGAACCTATATCCCGGCCTTGATCTCAGATAACACCAGAGAAATCTAACAGACAAACGAGTACATGGTACACGGACCCAGCCCTCAGTCGTGCCGCTCAGAACTACTTTGGGGTATTGGGACTAAAGCATAGGCTCCAAAGTTCCCCCGCTTTTTTCCGACATACAAGTAAAAACGTAAGCTTCAGGTTAAAATGGGATTAGGGAAATCGTTTGAGGCCCAAAACACCAACTTCTAACCCCACAGCGTGAGTTTAACTTAGCCTCAAAAGGATTCTGATGTAGAGCCAAGAATGGCTTGCACACACTATTTGCATGAGGGCAAAAAGAAAAAAAAAAGTGTGGTAATAAAGCTCTTTCCCTGAAATAAGTTGGTGGCTCTTAAAAGAGCCGTTGGTTTATTGGAAGCAGCTTCCAACCGGAACTTTACTTCTTCTTGGGTGCTGCCTTCTTGGGTTTGGCAGCGGTCTTTGGCTTGGTTATCTTTACTTTGGCCCCTTTGGGTTTCACAGCCTTGGCTTTGGCAGGGCTCTTGGCTACTTTCTTAGGCTTCACAGCCTTGGGCTTCTTAGGACTCTTGGAGGACTTCTTTGTCGCCACAGGCTTTTTAGCCTTTTTTGGAGTCTTGACACCTTTCTTAGTAGCAGCCGCCCCAGCGGCCTTCTTGGGCTTCTTAGAAGCGCTTGTTACCTTGGTTTTCGTTGCCACCTTTGTGGCGCTGGGCTTAGCATCCACGGAGGCTACTTTCTTGTTGAGCTTGAAAGAACCCGAGGCGCCGGTGCCCTTGGTCTGCACCAAGGTGCCTTTGCCCACTAGGCTCTTAAGACCCAACTTGATGCGGCTGTTGTTCTTTTCCACATCGTAGCCAGCGGCCGCCAGCGCCTTCTTCAGTGCGGCCAAGGACACACCGCTGCGCTCCTTAGAGGAGGAAACGGCTTGTACAATCAGCTCCGAAACTGAAGGGCCCGCGGGTTTCTTCTTGGCGGCTGCTGCAGCTTTCACAGGCTTCCTCGCCTTCTTGCCAGCTGAAGGCTTCTCAGGGGGAGTGGAAGCTGCTGGAGCGGGGAGCACGACTTCGGACATGGCGAAAGTAAAGAGAAACTAACTAAACCGCTAGACCCAACGAGGCAATAAGACGCGGGTAGCTCCGGCGCGCGATATTTATAGGGCGGGGCCGCGCTGTGATTGGTGAGCGCTGGCGCCCGCCCCCCGGTACCCTAGCGCCCCCTGCCCTCCCGGCTGGGTCTCGCAAGGCAGCAGCAGGCCGCTGGCGCCTATGGTCCTGCTTTCCTGCCGCTTGCACTGAAGCTCCCAGACAGCATCCTTCTCCACCCCTCATCCCGACGCCGGTCGCCCAGTGGAGACGGAAATACTCCACTCGGCAGGGTAGGGTCTGGGCCATTACCATCAGAGGATGCGACTTCTTTTTTAAAAAAGCAGGTTTTTTTTCCTTTTGGGGGTGGGAGGAAGAGCTGTAAATAGGCAATTGCGTAGGAATCCAAGGAGTTTCACCTGAAACCTCGCCTCTAGGAAGCACTGCCAAGTGATATCAGTTTCTAATCTGCAATCAATTCAAAAGGTTATATCTTGGATGACTGAAAGGGAGAGAGGAAAGCGAGAGTATGTAGGCCTGGTCTGCAGGTTTGGGAAAAGTTCTCATTGATGCCAATTCCTTTCCTGGCAACGCTGAGTATGTGTGGTAAAGACCCGAGACGCGAGTGCCCTTGGTCTGAACCAGGGTGCGTTTATGTATTTGGGACAAAGAATTGCAGAAAACAAAAGAATTGGTAAACACTGCAACTGACACTCAAGCTGCACCTGTGGAAAACTTAGCACGCAATTTATGTAATTTCAACTTATTTCCACAGCCCAATGCACGTAACAAATTTTGAATTGCCTTTCATTCTCATAACATATACCAAGCTGAAAACCTAGAACACGAAAGACATCAAGTAGCCTCTGGGTGGACTAAACTGTGCCCGGATAGGCACTGCACACAGGGAGGATGTGGGAGCAGGGGGAAAAGTTGCTTTAGTATGAAAATGAGAGAACACAGCCCCTAGATATATTTTAGGGCACTGTCCCTTTAACTTGTTTGTGGCTGTAAAAGCAGCAACAATGCTAAAACGACTTCACAATGCGAATCAGACTACTGAGAGACTAAAACTCCCCTTTCACAACCCCACTCTGGGTAACCGTCCCTTACAATTCAGTCCTGGGCAATCTCCTAGCAGTAGAGAGAATGAAGCAGTGACAAGTCATTCCCGCGCGAGTACCTGCGGTTTTCAAACAAGTCCGCACTGGTCTCAGTAACCCGAATTTCCCCCAGTAACCCTCAAAAAACCCAAGAGCTCGTTTCCGCCTTGTGGCCAGTAATAAAAGGGTTCTAGACACAGGGAATGGCAACCCCCTCCAGTATTCTTGCCTGGAGAATCCCAGGCACAGAGGACCCTGGCCGGCTACAGTCCGTGGAGTCGCAGAGTCGGACACGACCGAGCCCAGACACGAGAGTCGCCCATCTTTACCATTTCTTAACTGTCATTTTCTTGAGTCTGTATTTACAAAACCCATTACGTAATTTCTGATAACTTTGAAGAGATAAGAACAATTGGAGCTAGGCGTCTTGGTTTAAAGGACAATTATAACACAGGTATACAATCTTTCTCCAAGAGGAAGTTTTCATAAATGGACATTTCTAGAAAGATATAAGCTTTTCCTATAGTAATAAATGTGGCATCTAATCAAAAGTTTTTAAAAGGGAAATACTGCATGCAACAATTTCTTGTTTAAAGAATGACTTATACCGCCTGTGTCTAATGGGTTTAACAAGTTTCAAATTAAAGGGAAAATGCTCCATGCAAATGAGGGATGCTAGATATGCATTCTTACTGGCTACCAAGTAAAATGGACTCTACCAATCAAAAGGTAGAATCTGGACTACCGCCTTCGCATAACGGTTCACATTTGGGTTTTTTTAAAAAATAAGATCAGTCACTGGCAGTAGTAAATTGTCTTCGTTTTGGTCCATAATCTGTTCACTGAGTTTAGTCCATCGCCTGCTTCCCATGGGGAAATTCCTCTGATCCCTTGTGGCTGTCCCGCCGTTGTCTACCCGGCATTGCACCAGGCTAAGTGTATTCTAGACTTTAGTTTCAGAAAGCTCCAAATGTAAAGTCAGAACATAAGAAAAAGGTGGCTTATTACAGAAAATACTTCTGGAAACGCTAGTGTGATTTTTTTTTTTTTTTTTACTGTTTTTGTGGTTACATCTTGTAGGTTTCAAAGAAGTTCGTCGGTCAGTTTAAGCTTTACAGAGGGATCTCTCTTTTTTGGTAAAATGGCTTTAAAAATTTTTAACCCGATATCGGGTTACAGACCAGGGACTGTACCCTCAATTCCCACCCGATTCAGGGGACTAAGAAAACCTACATTACTACAATATCAATGAAGTGAATGTCTATTTTTCCGAAAAGGTAACGCCCAGAGCATTGCATTTACAGGAAAATCGTGTGTGGAAAAGAACAAAACTAAAAAAAAAAAAAAAAAATTGAAAAGAGCTGAGGATAGAAGGAAGCGGCCAATGAAACTGCACGGTTTTTGGAAAGTTTAAAGCTAGACTAATCAGAACCTGTAACGTAATATTCAAACTTTTCTCCCGCCCAATCACTACCCCTGACGTACTATAAATACCAGCAAAAATACTGGGTGATTCATTTGGGCTAGTTAGGCACATCTGCTTCGCGGTTACTTGTCATGGCTCGTACTAAGCAAACTGCCCGTAAATCTACCGGCGGCAAGGCGCCACGCAAGCAGCTAGCCACCAAGGCGGCTCGTAAGAGTGCACCGGCCACTGGCGGCGTAAAAAAGCCTCACCGCTACCGTCCTGGCACGGTGGCCCTGCGCGAGATCCGCCGCTACCAAAAATCCACAGAGCTTCTTATCCGTAAACTGCCTTTTCAACGCCTTGTGCGTGAGATTGCCCAGGACTTCAAGACCGACTTGCGCTTCCAGAGTTCGGCGGTGATGGCACTGCAGGAGGCATGTGAAGCCTATCTGGTGGGTCTTTTCGAGGATACCAATTTATGCGCTATTCACGCAAAGCGCGTTACCATCATGCCCAAGGACATCCAGCTAGCCCGTCGGATCCGCGGGGAGAGGGCATAAATTACAGTTTTGAGATTTCAACCAAAGGCTCTTTTCAGAGCCACCCACGTTTTCAAGTAAAACGGCTGTAAGACAAACCAACTACAGTAGATGAATATACTGCTTTGGGGATGGAAAGAACATTCATCAATAACACTCGGGTCATGGGTGCCTTTTTGTTTCAATATTCCCTGCATATGCGAACAAACTGGCCCTTTGTGTTTAGTACTGTTATCTTAATGAAGAGCCAGAGTTTCGGAGGCACGCAGAGTGACATTTGCAGATGTTTTTATAATAGGGCCTTTTGAACATCAGGATAGTATGACCATTTTTACATTTCTATCTCTGATTTTGACATTTTTACGACAATCAAATCATTGATAGTAAATTTTCGCCCTTTAAAGAATCTGTTCTACCTAGGATATTTGTAATATGTTTGCTCTAAGCCTGCTTCCTCTAATTAGTTAAAACGGTAGAGCCCAACCTGATCCGCCTCTCACTTCCGGCCCTTCAGTTCTTTTGGCGCCTGTTCCCGGGGCTTGGAGGAGGGATTAAGGGCGGGGATTGATGGCGTCACACTTCCGGCTTGCACGCTTTCTGTGCCCTCTGTGGGGGGAGGGGCGGAGGGAGTAGGTATATAAGAATCGGTTCTCAGCTTACTCGTCAGTTGCTGTTGGTTTACTTTTTGCGAAGCTATGTCGGGACGCGGCAAAGGCGGCAAAGGCCTGGGGAAAGGCGGCGCTAAGCGCCACCGTAAGGTTCTGCGCGACAACATCCAGGGCATAACTAAACCTGCTATCCGTCGCTTGGCTCGTCGTGGCGGTGTGAAGCGCATCTCTGGGCTCATCTACGAAGAGACGCGCGGCGTCCTGAAAGTGTTTCTGGAGAATGTGATCCGGGATGCAGTCACCTACACCGAGCATGCCAAGCGGAAGACTGTCACCGCTATGGATGTGGTCTACGCTCTCAAGCGCCAGGGCCGTACCCTCTACGGTTTTGGTGGTTAAGCTTTCCGGTTTGCCCTCAGTTTGATTTCAACCTAAAGGCCCTTTTCAGGGCCACCCAAATACTCTTAAAAAGAGCTGTAACTATTAGCCGAGAAGCAGTTGAGTCCTATAGTGGAAATGGAACCACTAGCCCTGAACTAGAAAACATTGCGGGGTTTAGTAAAACGTATATACGTACAGAATCTTTCGCCCTCATGGTAGCGGCGAAGATGATTGAAAGTGGAAAACTAAGGAGAAAGACTTAGTCGCCAAGCCCCACCCATGAGTGTCGGCCTGTCAGAACTGATGATCTCTGTTTTACCGTAGGACATAAATAGGGGATGGGAAATCGAGCGAGAAAAGGCAAAGGCCGGGTTTAGTAAATCTTTTTTACGGGTTATGAAACACATCTGAGTCTCATGTCCTGAGAACAGTACTGAAATTACCGCTACTAATGGGGTGATTTGTCTCGATTAAAAAACTAATCTGAAATGGTGTGCAAAAGAAGCCGGATTCAGACAGCAAGGAAACCCAGGCATTTAGTTCAGAAGAAGTTATGAAAAAAACGCCCAGCGCTCGGTAGTAAGCCATACTTTTGCCTATCACAGAGAAATGGAAATTAGGGTGATTGAAATATTCTAAAATTAAACTGTAGTGATGGTTGTACAACTAAGCAAATATACTAAAGTTTATTGCTTGTACACAAAAATGTGGATGAAATTTTATGGTATGTAGATAAATATATAATCTCCAGGCAGGGTAGCAGGAGATGAAGTTTGTAGGGTAGGTCTGTTGGTCTGTGAAGATGTTCTCTTGCTAAAGTATGGCCTCCTTGGTCTATGCTTGATCTGTCGTAGCCACAGAAAGTTTTTAAACAAGAAAATCTCTCATACAATTATATGTTCCAGTAGCATATCAGACATTAGAACTCAGTTGAAGGGACGTGAATTTACTTGAGGTTGGCTAGTAGGGAAAGAGTATTTCCATCTAAAAGGTATTCACAAATGCCTCTATCACTGAGTTCTTTTCTGTGTAATTTTTATAGAGGGCTGTCTGATTTCAGCCTCAGTATGTTAGTTCTAGTGTTTCCCCTAATTTTTTCAGTTTCTTTCCCACCTGATAACTGTCCTCCAAGATTTGGAGGGGAATGATATAATTATCTAGCCTTCCTTAATTAAAACTGACAATGGGGAGGGTTCAAAGCTGCGTTTTGGATGACTAGAGGAGAAAAAATGGGCCTGTTTAGGAGAGTAATGTAATCCTGGTGCCCTTCAGGACATATATGTTGATTTTGTGTAATGTGCCAGCTATTGTTTAAGCATTGGGGTACACCAGTAAGCAAATTAGAATTTCCTGTCCTCCATTCAGATATGTAATAAAATATGTGGATACAGATTTCCTACACTGAAGGGAAGTGTGGCTGCTCCATAGATCACCTTCTTTTGTGGTTGGCCTTTTTTTAGTTCATTAACCTCGTAGATTGTATCATACTCATTTTAGTCATACCCACCAGCTGGGTAAAAAGGTTAGGTCTTTCTCAGGCCTAACACTCCTGAAGTCCTTGTTCAGAACAAAGATAATGCTGCTTGATATACCACTCCTGCATCATTCCTAAGAGACAGAGAAAATCTGTCATGCTGATTGATTCAGGCAGTGACAAGTCAAAGAATTATAGATAAGGAATCAATCATGGCAGCACTATGGTGGGCATGAGAGTGGGAGAGGGCCTGTGTCCTTGTGTAGAACATTCATGCCTGCATTCACTGAACTCTGCCACGTGAAGACAGCAGGAAGACAGTAGGCTATGAAGTAGGAAATGGGTCCTCATCACACACCCGATCTGCCTGAATCTGCCCAGCACCTTGATGCTGGTTAGTCTCCAGAACTCTGAGAAATATTTGTTGTTAAAGCACACGGTCCATGGTATTTTTATTATATCAGCCTGAACTAAGACAGCATTTTATGGATATAGATATTTTTATCTGGTCTGTTTTGATGACAATTTCTATTGCTTCCACTCATTTACAAACAACATGCTGCTATAAAACATGTTTAAGTTCTTAGTGCTCTCATCCAGTCTGACCATTTATATATTGATGAGTCCTCAATTTTTTTCTCTAGTCCAGAAGTCTCACCTGAAATTAAGAACCTCGCTTTCTCAACTGCCTAGTCAGTATCTCCTCCAGGATCAAGAGACAGGTGTTAGTAGAATGACGAGACAGCAGTTTCCTAGAGCAGTCATCAATACACGTCTCAAACGAAAAATCAAGGAGGCTGATTATTCAGTCAGTCGGCTGGTTTATCAATTTGAGCACACGTCAAAAAAACTTTTTTAACTATATTGTCATGTTTGACAATTTAAAGTTTGACAATTTAAAGTTTCATTTTAAAGTATAACTTACAGCAGAGTACAGAGAGAGACGAGCTGGAATGAAGCTGAAAATACAAGAGAGCCACTTAAGAGTCACCTTACCACACAGGAAGGAGCGTCTGCCTACAATCTCAAAGGCCCTGCTGGAGGCCTAAGGGTTCAGAACAGAATATAGTAAATGGGAATTTATAAACTGCTTAGCGAGAGGCCTCCAGCCTGAGGATGAAAATCAGCAATGCCAAGGCACTTGAAAGGCCAAGACCACTGGGTTTACGAATGGTCACGGCACTCAGCATGATGGATGACTCAAACTTGAGAGGTACCGGAGGCGAAGGTTTGGGGCACGACCCGGAGGAGGACAACGAGGTGGTGGGGCTGCAGAGATCAGAGCGCAGATCCCAGCGTCGCTCACTGCAAACTAAGAACACCCAGGGTCTTTCCTGCAGTGTATTTAATTCATCTGGCTTGTCAGCGACCAGCAGCACCCCGGCAGTTTCTGGCAATTTGCACAAATATTAAATACTTTGGGCTTCCCAGGTGGTGCAGTGGGAAAGAAGACGCTTGCCAAAGCCCGGAGACGCGAGACGCGGGTTCGATCGAATTGAGGTCCCCTGGAGTAGGAAATGGAAACCCACTCCAGTATTCTTGCCTGGAAAATCCAAAGGACAGAGGAGCCTGGCGAGCTACAATCCAGGAGTAGGCCGCGACTGAGCACACGCACATGCACACCCAGAAGTTTTGCCTCTTCGATGAAACCTTGACTTACGGTTGATAGTCCTTTTACAGACGATTTGGGGGTAGGCAGGATCCCTCCCGCGCTGGGGCTTGTTAAACAGGGCACCGGAACTTTCGCCGCATATTAAGCCTAACAGAATTATACTGCCCTATTGACCGAAAGCGCCGCTACTCTTCACACACGAACAACGACTGGATGAAGTTAGTGTTATGGCAGAGAACCCGCACGGAAAAACTACTTTAGCATTAAAGGAGAATACATTTCTAATCTAAGTACACATTGAGCACAGCCCTTTCCGAGAGGGAGTGGGCGGCCCTGAAAAGGGCCTTTAGATAAACGTACTGGATGACGCTTTAGCCGCCGAAACCATAGAGGGTGCGGCCCTGGCGCTTGAGCGCGTAGACCACATCCATGGCGGTAACAGTCTTCCGCTTGGCGTGCTCGGTGTAGGTGACCGCGTCCCGGATCACGTTCTCCAAGAACACCTTCAGCACCCCGCGGGTCTCCTCGTAAATGAGCCCAGAGATCCGCTTCACACCACCGCGACGAGCCAGGCGACGGATGGCGGGCTTGGTGATACCCTGGATATTGTCCCGCAGAACCTTGCGGTGGCGCTTAGCGCCTCCCTTTCCAAGGCCTTTGCCGCCTTTGCCTCGTCCAGACATCCTACCTAAACTGTTGCTAGCGTGTGCGATACAGCAGTGGTATTACTGCTTGGTCAAGAGTAATTATAAGCTGTAGTCGGACCTCATTGAGAACTGAAAGCGTGGGCGGGAAAAGACGCTCTGAAACCACTCCCTTGGCTCCGCCCCTTTCTGGATCCAGTGACTGTGAGAGGGAGAGAACCTAATATAATGCATGTGTTAAATTTTACTCTGGATTGTTTTGCTCCCTTTGATCTTTGAGTCTATTTATATTTTCGACTGAGAATATTAGTAAGGGTTTATTTTTTTTTTGGCAAATACTGTACTTTCTCATTCAGGAGAAGGTGCCTTAGTTGTGAATGGTAGCAGAATATGATGCTCACCCTTCATATGCTATTTTTGAGCTTTTTTTTTTTTAATGCCAGACATAGAGAATAATTTACTTTTCCTTTTTTGTGAGGGACACTTACATTTATAAAGGGAATTTCAATTGATATCTTTCTGTCTGTACCAGGAAGATAGGATAACTGGATGACCAGAGAATCTCATCAATGAGAAGACACTGGACTTAATTCTGTATAATAACCTTACTCTTGTTTGCTTTCCTGGTAACCTCTCATAACTAGCTCCTTCCTACTTCTTTTGTCTTTAGTTGAAGATACTTAAAGTGGGGTTTTGGACAAACTTGCAGAGTTTTACTCAGTTTTTCTAGGTATCTCTTATGCATATGTGAGGTGTACATGTTATTAAACTGTTTTTCTCATGTTAACCTACCCTTTATACAGTGGTTCTCAGCCAAGAATTTAGAAGGGTAGAGGGAAAGTTATTTTCCCTCTCCTGTAAGTATGTTATTTTGAGCTGTAGCAGAAAAACAGCAAATGCATAGAGGATTTCTCTCAACTCCCATTACCTACCTAAAGACAGACAAAAAGAACGCAATAAATCCCTCCCCAAAGAGCTTCACTAACTAGGGAAGAATGACACTTATTAGAGAAAAGGACACTTTTACCACACCCACACAAACCTTGTCACAAACTATTGTCCATGAAAACGGTCAATCTGAGAAAGAAAATGGGACTTTATTAGAGGCAACCCAAGGATTATCACCTGGGAGACAGTCTTTCAGAAAGCTCTGAGGACTGTTCTGTTTGTTAGAGTTCTAAACAGTATATTCTTAAGACAAAGAGTTATATCTTAAAGTTACTATTGACAGACTACATAGTCCAGACCCACATGTATAAGGTGAATAGTGGGGCATTGCTGTCCCTTACGGGATTGAGAAAGGAGTGTTATCTTCTAAGAAGGTACCGTGCTGGTACCAGGAGAAAATTGCTTTTTTCAGTCAAGCAGGTATTCATATGTCTTTTAAGGAGATTTGGTCAATGTCCTGCTATAATGTGCACAATGTACACTAAAGAGGGGTAGTGGCCCCAATGAGCAGAGAGAGAATTTTATGTCTAGAAACTTTCTTATCCTGCTTTAAACATAATCTTATTTTATCACTATTGTTTCTCCCCATCTATTCTCTTAAGAGTCCATTCATCTTTCCTAAAAATCATTTACTCACCTATTAGGCTTACACACCACCTCTCACTCATTTTCCCTAAGATGGTATTTAAGTTGGAATTTTAAGCTACCTTCAGGAGTTACTCATTTTTCCCCAGATAACTCCCACGTATACATAAGGGCTATATGTTACTTCTGTTTGTTTTTCTCTTGTTAACCTTTTATTTCAGGGGTTCTCAGCTAAGAACTCAGAAGGGTAGAGGGAAAATTATTTAACCTTCCCTACCGGTTATGAGCTGTGTGACCATATAAACTTACCGTTATTTTCTACATCTGTAACACGGGGTAATGATAATAATGATGTAACTCTAATAAGGATTTAATTTAGCCATTGTAAACAAAGCGTTAGAAGAGAGATAGGCTGAGAGAAGTTGTATATAAATATGATTGTTTCCAATTGGCATTACTTCTTAAAGAACCTGTTTAGACTTGGCCACCTGATGCGAAGAACTGACTCATTGAAAAAGACCTTGATGCTGGGAAAGATTGAAGGCAGGAGGAGAAGGGGAAAACAGAGGGTTAGATGGTTGGATGGCATCACTGACGCAATGGACATGAGTTTGAGTAGGCTCCGGGAGTTGGAGATGGACAGCGAAGCCTTGTGTGCTGCAGTCCATGGGGTCACAAAGAGTCAGACACGACTGAGCAAATGAACTGAACTGAGACTTGAAATATTACCCTGAAGTCTCATTTTTCCTTCCAACACAGTATTAGCCACAACCATATGTACATATTAGTGAGGATTTTTTTTTGAAAGAGCACAAAAGCTCCAGGAGTTGGTTATGGACAGGGAAGCCGGGCCTGCTGCAGTCCATGGGGTTGCAAAGAGTCGGACATGACTGAGTGACTGAAATGAACTGACTGATGGCATCTAACAAAGACATCAACCCATTCTGTTTTGGCATATGTGACATGTTAAATGTGATGGTCCAAATAAGTTCCTTTGTGCCCTCTCCTAAGGTACATGGACAGTCTCAGGTTTCTAGCTTTCCTGCAGCCAAGTCTGGGGTGCCTTTCAAATCTCCATACCAGCTTCCCACTGTTGTGTTAAATCTCCTGAAAACACTCATTGAGCAGTGACACATCTACTAGGACAACTGAAAAGGCTACCACTAAATCTGAAGTCTGAAAAATTCACCCTGACCTTGACTTCCTCTTCCTCTTCGATACTCTTTATAACAAACCCAAATTTTATACTCCCAACAGCATTAGCTGTAAACTTCAGCTTGTGGTGTAACATAACTCTGCACCTGTGAAGGAAAAACTCTTTTTGACTGAAGACCTTGCAACAGTCATTCAAAAGATACAATCTTTACATTAAACATCCCCATTTGTCTCCAGCCCCACCTTAGTTATTCGCCTAATATAACAGATGCTTAATGCAATCATATTAAAATGCCGTCCAAAGTGTTCAGTAAATTTTCTTCCACAAATTTGATTTTCTTGTTTAATTTTTAAATATCTGCTGAATTTTAACTTCTAAAATGAGCAGAATCTGTGCAAGTAATGCCAAATGAAAAAGTAGTAAAGCTAGCATCTGAACTCAGGTAAACTAGCATCTAAATGTTGCTGACTTGCAGAGTATACCCTAAAAAGATTAACAAGGTTATGAATTCTAAAATGGTGCTAACCTTTTTTCCCTAGATACTGCAGTTGTTTTCTTTAGGGGCTCAAGTAAATTAAAGACTTAAAGTCAAATCCACATTCCTTGGCTGGGAGGAGAAAGAACAGCCATTGTTCATCCTCTATCAGATACTAAGACAGTAATGGACACGTTTAAAATCCTTGGGTCAAGTGGTTAAAATCCTGAACAACTACAGCAAGTAATTGCTAGAAGAGACAAAAGCAATGGGGCAGGAAAAAGTGCAATTACATGGAGTACTTACAAGTAGGTTTGTTACAGCAGCATTACAGTAGATATTTGGCTCACGGCAAGAGAAAGCAACATGTACTTGGAGTATCCGAAAAGACTTTATTTTACACTGATCCGGGGCTCCCCTGGTGGTTCAGATGGTGAAGAATCTGCCTGCAGTGCAGGAGGCCCAGGTTCAATCCCTAGGTCAGGAAGATCTACCCATGAAGGAAATGGCAACCCACTCCAGTATTCTTGCCTAGAAAATTCTGTGGACTGAGGAGCCAGGTGGGTTACAGTCGATGGGGTCATAAAGAGTTGGACGAGACTAAGCAATTAACAGACAACTGTTGGCTCTTCATATTTTAGTCCTCTGGTAAACAAGCCCGACATTAGGTGTAATTTGCTAAGACAGCCATCTGGGTCACCACTGGGGCCCAAGGGTGAAAGAGTTTTCCATCACTGAGGTGAGTTACAAAAATTTGTATTAGGATATGCCACATATTTAGGGTCTATATGCAGTTGATGGTGATGAAGCATCTAACCAAAGAGAGGAAGAAAACTGCCAGTAAAAGCCTTTTACCCCAATGTCAATTGACTGGAGCCATCGCTGTTGACCCTATGGCAAAAATGAAAGCTAAGGGTGCACAGCCAGAGAGGAGCAGAGGGCAACAGTGCCGGAGCATCACAGTGAAAGAACTAATATAGGGGACAGGAACAGCATAATTATCTTTCCCAGTTGCTGACTCTTCCAGTCCTTGGGTGGATTACCGGGACTCCAGAGCACAGTGCTTGTCCTTTCTCCTCCTGAGGGTGACCCGCACTGGGTTGTTTTAGTTGGGGGGGGGGGGTGTCACCTCCCAATGGGGTCAGTCTTTGTTTGGCAGATGCGCTGCCTTCACCCTGGAGTGATGGAGCGGCCTGTCTAAATAGACCTGGACTCCTAGACGAGCCTCTCGAGGAATCGGGTACTGTTGCAGTTTTACAGGCTGGGTTCCCGATTCCAGATCAATCAGGACGGGGCATGATGTCTTGCCAGACCCAGATGATTCTTTTTGGCCCAGACCAGTGGGTACTCAATCTCTAATTCAGGAAGAATGGTCTGCTCTTTTGGAGGGGAAAAGTACACGTACCATTCCGCTTCCTTCTTTTCAGCAATAGCCATAATCAAGGAGGGTCACTCTGGTAACTTTAGCTGGGCTGACCCATAAGCAGAAATGGAAACTTGGGCTCCCATTTTTGCAAGGATATCCCTTCCTATCAAAGGAACTGGGCAGTCTGGCAGGTAGAGGAATTCATGGACTACCTCACGGCCCCCTAATCAGCATCTCCGAGGACCACAGAAGGGCCTGCGGGTCTGAGCTCCTGCAGCCCTGATGATCGGGACTTCTCTTCCTGAGAAGGGGGCGATCTGCTGAGTGACCACCAAATGCTCAGCACCTGTGTCTACCATAAAGTCCACTGGAGGGCCCCCACTTTAACTCTGACCATGGACTCTCAGGGGCCCAATTGAAGAGAGCCTGGTTCCCTCTAATGGGGTTCTGCTTCTGCTAGGCTGATCAGATTAGTGCTGGGTGGCTCAGGTTGATATCAGCTCGAAGGGGCTGCCACTTTGGTTCTCTTTTTAGGGCGGTCAGGACATTCATTCTTCCAGCGTTCTTTTTCTTTACAATAGGCCCATTGATCACAGCTTAGAGAGCTTCTCTTCTTCAGATCTGGGCCCCTTGCCCTATGAGGTGATCCTGCCGGGGGTGCAGGCTTTGACAGAGTAGCTCCCAGGCATGCAACTTTCCATTCCATCCTCTTTTCTGCTTCACAATGGGCTGCTTGGTCGCAGTTGACAAAGACTTTATTGGCAATCTCCAGCAATTTTGTGGTGTTTTTGTCCATGAACCCTTTCAATCTTTGTAATTTTCTCCGGATGTCTGATTGGGCCTGTCCCATGAACATGGGATTTACCATCCGTTGGTTTTCTGGGGCCTCAGGATCGAAAGGAGTGAAGACCCGGAAGGCCTCACATAGTCTCTCATAGAAGTCTGCCGGGCTTTCATCTGGCTTTTGTATTGCCTCTATGGCTTTAGCCATGTTGGTGGGCTTCTTAGCCCCTTTTACTTCCTGTAGGATGGCCAGTCGATACCTCTTCAGTCTATTTCTTCCTCCTTCAGTGGCCCAGCAGGGCTTGTCTTCTGGGAAGGTTTCTTCGTCCACTTGGCCCCCTGGAACATTGGCCTGAAACCATTTTCTTGCCTCTGTTATGATTCATCGGTGCTCCTCCATATTGAACAAGGTGAGGAGCAGCTGCCAGCAGTCTGCCCAAGTGGGGCAGTGGGTCTGAAAAATGGACTCTAGGAGATTGATCAGCACTTGAGGCTTTTCAGAGTATGAGGAGGTGAAAAACTTCCAGTTGAGAAGATCGGTCATGCAGAAAGGCTGGTAGTAGAAGACAGGTCCCCCCTCTTTGAGGGTTCCATCAGCAGCAAGGCGCTGGGGTCCCCAAGTCTCTCCTAAGTGCATTTGTAGCACTGGGGTAGCTGGTCCTGGAGCTGATTGGAGGTGCCTACTCATCAGTTCCGGGGTGCCTGGTCACGGGGGTATGACAACCTCAGGATCATCAGGAGAAAGAGGCGAAACAGACGGTGGTAGGCTATCTGGCAAATGTGGACCTTTGGCCACTTGAGGGGGAGCTGTTGGCACATAGGCTGGTGGCACTATTGGTGGTGAGTCCTCAGCCTCTCCTTGGAAAATAGGTGGCTCTTCTGGTGTGGGGCATTTCTTTCTGGTTGGGCTACTAGGACCTTACACTTTCCCTTACTTGTAGCACAGAACCGAACCCATGGAGGCCTCAAGTGAGCAATTTTCAACCAATCATTGGTCAATATATGGGAACTGGTCTGGCTGGCCAGGGTCTCCAGTTGTGACTCTATATACACTGCTCGATCAGTGGGCACATCTCAGGTGCCCTCTGAGGGCCATCCGACCCCAAAGGAGGGCCACTCTAGGGTGCACATAGTGCGCAATTTTCCAGAACTCAATATTACACCATAATCTCCAGAGAATCCTTCCTTACTATTTTTAACCATACACTCTAATTTGAATTGGAACTACTCATTATGTGAGTTCCCACTCTGGAATGGTGTCCCACAACAAACAAAAATGCTTTCGCTTTTGTCAATTTGGCCATTCCCTTTATGGGGGCGTTGGGTACCTCTTAGCTATAGCAGGTCAGTATATAAAGCCCTGTTTATCCTCCTCCCCTTGTCAGTGTAATAAACCCCTCACAGGCCCGCACTGAGGGACAATGTCCCGTAGGACCTGATGCTACCCCTGAGCCGTGTGAGGTCACCAAGAAGCCGCAGGTTAGGACCCACTCAGCCTCCACAGCTATTGCCGTGGAGAACGGTCACTCACACAGATAGACATACAATGCTAGCACACCAGACACCTGATACGGAGACTTCCCTATCCTGGGCAGCACTCTATGCTGCAGGAGGTGATCAGTCTCCCCTTCCTCCGTCAAGGTGGGCCTGAACTCAGCCCTGGGTCCCCGGGGACACTCACCCCATCAGACGTCTGGCCCTGGCAAAATTTTCTGAATCCTCCCCCGGCGTCTGCTTGAACGCGGCAACGGCCTGCTACTACCGGGCCCGACGAGGGTCAGAGTGCAGTGACATCACTGGTGGCGCGCCATCGTTCCCGTCGCGGGGGCCGGAGATAGAGGAGCTTCAGTCAGTTCTCGACAACGGTGGCACAAGGGGCCAGCGCGGCTGTCGGTTTCCCGGCCAATGTACCAAAATGTTACAGCAGATATTTGGCTCACAGGAAGACAAGCAACACGCACTCGGGGGATCAGAAAGTGAAAGTCGCTCAGTCGTGACGGACTCTTTGCGACTACACGGACTATACAGTCCATGGAATTCTTTAGGCCAGAATACTGGAGTGAGTAGCCTTTCCCTTCTCTAGGGTATCTTCCCAGTCCAGGGATTGAACCCAGGTCTCCCGCATTGCAGGTGGATTCTTTACCAGCTGAACCACAAGGGAAGCCCAAGAAAAGTGAAAGTCGCCCAGTCGTGTCCGATTATTTGCGACCCCATGGACTGTGTAGGACCAGGGCCAGAATTGTCCAGCCCAGAATATTGGAAAAGGTCGTCGTTCCCTTTCCCAGGGGAATCTTTCCAACCCAGGTCTACCCGCCTTGCACGTGGATTCTTTACCAGGTGAACCACCAGGGAAACCCAAGAATACAGGAGTAGGTACCCTACACCTGCTCCAGGGGACCTTCCGAAACCAGGAACCGAACCGGAGTCTCCTGCATTCCGGGTGGATACTTTACCAGCTGACCTATCAGGGAAGCCCCAGAGTATTAGAAAAGACTGTTTATTTCACAGCAGTGAGGGCCTAGCGGAATCATCTCCAAAGGCAGAGCACCCAACTCAGGACTTGCCAGTTTTCTATACAAGTTGTGGCAGGGGCGGGGGCGGGGGGTGGGAGGTGATGCGGCGCAGAGCTTTCATGCAAATGAGGGGAGCTAAGCAAGGGAGAGAACGTGTCCTCTATCCTGTTCCCAGTCAGGACTGCAGTTTAAACCTTTTTCAACGCCATCTCTGGCAACTGGTTAACGCAACAAGCCGGGTTACAAAAGCCAACGTGCTAAGCCGAGCATTACATGGAGGATTTGCTAATTCCAAATTACAAAAAACTAGACCTGGAGAGCTAACTAGAAAGCGAATACGGTTAGATCCTCATCTCACACAACTCCAAGGTTTACTTGGCTGCGGGAGGTAGGGAGAGGACGACGGTGGGGTGCAGTTCAGCTCTGCTACAGCTTTCTGGGAGGAGGGATAATTCTTATCTCTTGTGGTACAACTCTGATTTGATGTTGTGGGTGGCTCTGAAAAGAGCCTTTGGGTTTAAGGTTGGCACTCAAATAGAAAACATGTTTACGCTCTCTCCCCGCGGATGCGGCGGGCAAGCTGGATGTCCTTGGGCATGATTGTGACGCGCTTGGCGTGGATGGCACACAGGTTGGTGTCCTCGAAGAGCCCCACCAGGTAGGCCTCGCACGCCTCCTGCAGCGCCATCACGGCCGAGCTCTGGAAGCGCAGATCGGTCTTGAAGTCCTGCGCAATCTCACGCACCAGCCGTTGGAACGGCAGTTTGCGGATCAGCAGCTCTGTAGACTTCTGGTAGCGGCGGATCTCGCGCAGGGCTACTGTACCAGGGCGGTAGCGATGCGGCTTCTTCACGCCACCAGTGGCCGGCGCGCTCTTGCGGGCCGCCTTAGTGGCCAGCTGCTTGCGCGGCGCCTTGCCGCCGGTGGACTTGCGAGCAGTCTGCTTAGTACGAGCCATGTTAAAGAACGAAACGATACTGCTACTCCAAACGGAAGCGACAAGCAAGCAGCCGCCCTTCTTTTATACAGGCAGGCGAACAACTATTGGACTCAAGAACATTCAAAAATACCCGCGCCCTGCCCTGATTGGTCCATTTCTCTTCCTGTCTGCCCGGAAGAATCCAGAGCTGCTTTCCGGTTGGTGAATAAACCTTCCCTTTTACTACAGCAACTCCAATAGTCTGACTTCACTTTATTTACCCTTTCACTTCTAAAATATACAGCAAAGTAATTACAAAGCAACACGGACACTGCCGATGGATTTTTTTTTAAGTACAATCACCAAAGATTATTTTGGAAGTGCTTAGAAAGAGTAGGTGGGCTACATCTAAAATGACAGGTTTTCTCGGGTGTAACACGAACACTGTGGACAATCAAGATGTTTTTGAAGTACCAATGATCTGTAAGTTACTCTCAACTGCTTCAGCATAACATGCTTTTATAAAGTGGAATCTAGATGCAGAGGGTTTGGGTGTTCCATCACATCAACAAAAAATGTTTAAGGTTAAGAATTCAGCACCTTTCGCTAATAAACTCTCACTCTCCAAGTGGGTAAAACATGTCACACGTCAACGCTGGGATTAAGGTTTGACTAGAAACTGATTCAACTCAGTTTAACCGGCCAATTTAAACTTGTGGGTGATTTTTCTGTTAAAACTTCCTCGCAAACATTCTGATTGAAGTTTTTATCGGGTAGTCAGGAAAACTCACTCTCTAGTTGTGAGTTTTGGCCTAATATTACAACCTTCACATGGGCATAATTAAAAGTATAACAGCTCTGTAAATGGAGAAAGTGGGTGGCTCTGAAAAGAGCCTTTTATATATCGATTTTTTCTGGGTAACTGAAAGTAAAAGTGCCGTGGGAACATGGACACTTTACTTGCCCTTGGCCTTGTGGTGACTCTCGGTCTTCTTGGGCAGCAGCACCGCCTGGATGTTGGGCAGGACACCGCCCTGAGCGATAGTCACACGGCCCAGCAGCTTGTTGAGCTCTTCATCGTTGCGGATGGCCAGCTGCAAGTGGCGCGGGATGATACGGGTCTTCTTGTTATCGCGCGCCGCGTTACCCGCCAGTTCCAAGATCTCGGCCGTCAGGTACTCCAGTACCGCTGCTAGGTACACCGGGGCCCCGGCCCCAACGCGCTCGGAGTAGTTGCCCTTCCGCAGCAGGCGGTGTACGCGGCCTACTGGAAACTGAAGCCCAGCACGCGAAGAGCGAGTTTTGGCTTTAGCTCGAGCCTTGCCACCCTGTTTACCACGGCCTGACATACCTGTCAAGTCACGATGCAAAGTACTTCACAAGAAAAACCAAACAGAAAATAAGTAAAACGAACGCGAGAGAAGTATTTATACTAACTGGAGGTAGGCTTGTGCTTTTCTCCCATTGGCTATCATTAAGGAACCAATGGGAGATCAGAATCTGCATTCTTAATTTGCATACAAGACTTCTGTCTAGTGACAAAAACTTTCTGAAAAAAGTACTAATAAAAGTATACTAAGGAGACGTTAGTTATACACTCTTCCCATTGGTTACTATGTTGGACCTATGGAGAATCGGAACCTGTATCCTTCATTTGCATACAAGGTTTTCTCATCCAGTCTGATGGACATTTAATGCTAGTAGTAATGGAGTTATTTGGTTTTGTCAAAACGATTGTTCTTAAAAGAAGCAGGAGTGGCTATTTTCATTGTTCTGAATTTTTAGCTATTGGGATTGTGACTCATAATTTTTAGAAAGGAATAAATGCAGAATAATTCGTAAAGATAATGTTTAAGAGAGAAGTATTAGTACGCTCAGTGTTTCTTTCTCTTTTCTAACTCTTTAATAGGGAAAACGAAGAAGAGGAAATAATAGTTTTTTATCTTGGTCCAAGACTTAAACTATCTGAACGCTAAAAAGTTCCATTTCATTCAACTTACCTATGAGGCCTTCCAGGATCACTTGGGAGGCATGTAGAGACCTGTCCTCATTTTAGAGAACGCGAAACAGAGACGCAGTTTGTTTGCCTTGGCTAAAGAACACTGAGTTTAATGGGACCAAGGATTCCAAACTCGTGGCTGGGAAACTGTCATCATTCCCCAGTGCCACTCCCAACCATCCCACGTTCCCTTTTTTCTCACTTGGCTCCCACAGGCAGGACACTAATTACTTCAGAAAACCCCATAATCCTGCATATTGTACTGGACTTCTTGATGTTAAAGTACTAAAAACTGCCGCACATAAGTCTCCAGACTCCTAAAAAATGAGAGAACAAACAACTCCTATAGCATATAAATACTCAAAATGAGATTACAGTATATACTGGAAGACACTATATTAATATTAGCACAGAGTCTTTGGTCTTAAGCTTTCATGTCCAGGAACCTAAAATTGAGAAGTTGCCAAGTGAAATCTTGCCATTTTTTTCTTATAATGGTCATTGAAATAGAAATAGATGGAGCCCAGATGGATGTGGACTATCATTTCAGGAATTTTTGAGGACTTGAGCCTATAAGTCTACTAACTCCTAAGCAAGATGGTAAAAGGAACAGGAACCTGGTTAGGAAAAAATTGCTCCTAAACCAATTCTGTCAGAGAACTATGTTTTGATCCAGGCAACCAAGAAGAGTTTCTTTTTTACCTTCTCTCAAGTCTTCTGACTCCTATGACTTTTTCTCAGCAATGTTCATTTCTTTTTTATTATTTATTATCTTCACCACGGACAACAGCAATACACATCAGTAACACTGGCCCAGTGTCTGAAATGAGTTGTAAAAAGATAGATGCTACCTCAAAGACTTCATACTATTTTGAAAAGTACAGAGGAGAGGAGGCAGGGGGGTTGTACACCTGAAGTTTAAATAGTAGAGCATAGTCTGCATCTAAAACTGAAGGTTTTAAACAATTAATATTATAAGAGCCCAGGGAGAAGAAAAATCACTGTTAATCAGAAGGATCAAGAGAATTTAAGACATTCAGCATTTATTCACATATATTTGCTGAGCAGTGTTAAGTATCTGTGTTCTAGATGATGACATCGTGTGCCCTTGTGGTCCTTGGGTAGGAAAAAAGTTTCCTCTATCCTTCTAGGTTCTTCAAGCTGATCTAAGAATTAAACTGGTATGAGACTGATTAACAGGGAAAAGTCCAATTTAGTTTCATTTGGGGGTTGGATAAAATAAAAATTAGACCCAAGGACAAGTTACACAGTTGAGGCTTGCTATGCCATCTCAGATTAGGGGTTAGGCCCTTGGGACTTCAAAAGGCAGGAAGGCAATTCACAGTGAAAAGAAAAAAGGCAAATGTTTTGTAAACAAATGTTTGCTGGACCAAACAGAAAGAGTGAGACCCAGAAAAGAATTTTAATTAACAATTGGCCATGTCTACAGTCCTAGTTCAGATTATATTGTAGTTACCTAGGGTGATAACTACCTTCCTCAAATGGGTCTGCTTACAGCTATAGACAGCATCCTTTTAGTGATTCTGAAAACAAAAGCCACAAAAGCAAAGGTTAAAGTCACAGTTCCAACATGGTGGAAGACTTTGCCTCTTCCCTGTCACACATTAATAAGTAAAGTTGGTAGCTCATCAGAATTAACTGGGGAGATGTATTAACTTTACTTTTGCCTTCTCATCATTCCTCTACTATAGTTTTGAAGGCTAGCCTGAAGTCCAGTCATGTAACTTATTTTTTTTGCTTGTTAAAGATCAGCCACGTATTTATTTGTACAGATGTCAAAAGGGCCTACCTTTGAGATTAGGAGGCCCAGATTTGGTTTGGGCTTTCATTTAAGGATATCGGTTCAGTTCAGTTGCTCAGTCGTTTCCAACTCTCTGGGACCCCATGGACTGCAGCACGCCAGGCCTCCCTGACCATCACTAACACCCGGAGTTTACACAAACTCATATCCGTTGAGTCGGTGATGCCATACAACCATCTCATCCTCTCTCATCCCCTTCTCCTGCCCTCAATCTTTCCCAGCATCAGGGTCTTTTCAAATGAGTCAGCTCTTCGCATCAGGTGGCCAAAGTATTGGAGTTTCAGCTTCAACATCAGTCCTTCCAGTGAACACCCAGAACCAATCTCCTTTAGGATGGACTGGTTGGATCTCCTTGCAGTCCAAGGGACTCTCAAGAGTCTTCTCCAACACCACAGTTATAAAGCATCAATTCTTCTGCTTTCAGCTTTCTTTATAGTCCAACTCTCACATCCATACATGACTACTGAAAAAACCATAGCCTTGACTAGACAGACCTTTGTTGACAAAGTAGTGTCTCTGCTTTTCAATATGCTGTCTAGGTTGGTCACAACTTTCCTTCCAAGGAGTAAGTGTCTTTTAATTTCATGGCTGCAATCACCATCTGCAGTGATTTTGGAGCCCCCCCAAAATAAAGTCAGCCACTGTTTCCATTGTTTCTCCATCTATTTGCCATGAAGTGATGGGACCAGATGCCATGATCTTAGTTTTCTGAATGTTGAGTTTTAAGCCAACTTTTTCACTCTCCTCTTTCACATTCATCAAGATGCTCTTTAGTTCTTCACTTTCTGCCATAAGGGTGATGTCATCTGCATATCTGAGGTTATTAATATTTCTCCCAGCAATCTTGATTCCAGCTTGTGCTTCATCCAGCCCAGCACTTCTCATGATATACTCTGCATATAAGTTAAATAAGCATGGGGACAATATACAGTCTTGACTTACTCCTTTTCCTATTTGGAACCAGTCTGTTGTTCCATGTCCAGTTCTAACTGTTGTTTCCTGACCTGCATACAGGTTTCTCAAGAGGCAGGTCAGGTGGTCTGGTATTCCCATCTCTTTCAGAGTTTTCCAGTTTATTGTGATCCATACAGTCAAACATAGTCAATAAAGCAGAAGTAGATGTTTTTCTGGAACTCTTGCTTTTTTGATGATCCAGCGGATGTTGGCAATTTCACCTCTGGTTCTCTGCCTTTTCTGAATCCAGCTTGAACATCTAGA